CTCTGTTCAACGGATACTTTTAACATAAACGTTTATGTTTTCTGTTTTAATGATTCGAGACATTTGGCAGCAGATGACAGGTGCGAAGTCTGCTCGGCTAGTCTTGAATTAGAAACAATGCGGACTTAAAGCTCAACGTAAATTCCCCGTTACCCTGTTTCGCCCCATAAATTTCATCGCCGGACACATCTTACAGTTAATGCTATATAGAATAAATTTGAAAAAAAATAATCCAGACGGGCAGCCTTGTAATTGTGACCAATAACAATTGGATCGACAAATGTCTCTCGAAACGATTTCAAATTACGCTGATCTATGTTTGATTAGAGTAGCTATTCACCGCGCGAGCTGCTATCAATTAGTTGGTACACGGCAATCGCGTGCTATGCAAATTTTATTCCATTAAAACTGATCGATTTTAGCGATAATTAATCGCGACACTGTGATACCCCAGCTTTCGTTAACCAGAAAGGTAAAGTTTTCGCGATAGGTGAGTTATTGAAACGTAGCGTACACACCGTACAAAGTAGTTGTCGGCAGGTTTATTTTGAACGCGAGAAATACACGCTCGAAACAGTGGACAAAATAGCTGCGAGTTGGCTGCTAGACGATCGCGTAATAACTCGGGCCCGCAAAGGGTTAAATTAGCACGGCCGAGACGAAATCACGATGAAAATGGCACAAAGTGGACCAAGTGGTTGCGTCAAAGCACGCAGGAAGAAGAGAGAGCGAACCGTCGTCGCACCCACTCCGAAACTCGTTAGAACGATATTTTGTTAACAGCTTAGCTAGCGTTCGCTGTTGCGAAGCCAAAAGGCTTTTCTCTCGCGAAACAAGAATTTCTCGAGCGAAACGCGGCAAACCTAACAAACCACCAGCGTCGTTCTAATGAAGATGATATACGCCGTGTCACACCTGTTGCGTTAATGAGGAATGTCTCTCGCGCGATTCCCCTTCTATAATGAACCGTAACGATGGAAAACAAGCTACTTCGAAGATTCTTCAACGATGAATCTTCTATCGTTGACGAGAACTGATTTTCCGCCCGGCAACCCTTTCACCGTTCCGTCGTCATTTCCACACGTGACTCACGTGATACGCAATTCAAAACATTATTCAGGATTTTCTTGTCTTACGGGAGATATTCTTAGGCGCCTACGCTCGTTAAATTTTAATACAAAACCTCATCGTGTTGCGAAGCAACGAGTACAATTACGGCTACTTCAATTTGGCAGTGGTTGAATACTTGGCACAAAGTACAACTTCATTTTCGAGGCTCGCCGCGACGATAGCTTATTACACACGGCCAATAAACAGACATTTTTTTTTAGTCTTCTTTAGGCGCCACGATATTATAGTACTTTAGCTTGAAATACAAATTAGGCTTCCCTGGGGAAAATGGTGGCAGGAGGAATTTTCAACATACAAATTTTGAAAATATTAATATTAAAAGTGATTAATAAATGAAAGGAAAGCTTTCGAGAAAGGCGGAGAAACCAGGGATCCAAAGAAACCTACGCGAAGATGGAAGCTTTCCAGAATGAACATCGCCATTTTTCCTGTATAAAACTACCATGCTCGCTACTTATGAAATCGCTAGGTATGAGATCGCAGCTTTCGCCATTCAAAAACTCGACTTATTTACACGACAGAAAAATGTTAAATGAATTTCGATTCAATGAGTCCACGGGGTCTCTACCAAACGACAGCGCTTTAGAGTATCCGCGGCATTAAATCACGAAAATCGCGCGAGCTGCCAAAACGACAATAATACTCGCCGCTATACCAGCCTACGCTTTTTGTATGCTTCTCGCATAATAATGCGAGTGTAATCTGTGCCAGAGGAGGCCACTGCCAGATTCGAAATACGTAAACGTAACACCAAGAAGAGAACTTTGCCTTAACTCCGCCTATAGAATCAATCAAAATGCGAAATTACCACATAATTGATATTTACAGAATTTCTATACAAATGAACAAAACATATAAGTTACTGATAAAGGTTTTTATTCGACATTGAGCAACGATAGATCCAAGATCTTCTAGCTAACGGAGTCGGACAATAAGAGGAACGGTTCAATGAAAAAGCGATTCACCTCGTGCTTCATTCAAACTCCGTTACAATTACCATTGGCAAGAGAATTGGTTCGGTCGGATAGCGAGGAACGAGACATGATTATTCAGGCGGCGAACACGTTTCAGAGTTGCGACGCGCAAGTAATAAGCAAGAGGCCAGGATGCCGCGCGACGGACAAGATTTGTCAGCGTAACGTTTAACTAGAATGAGAAAATAAATTTCCACTCGAGCCGTACGGTACGACCTAAATATTATGGGGGACGTGGCCAGCCCTTCGTGTCGCCGTTTTAGAAACAATTCTCTCTGTTCGCGGGTTAACGTCGTCCTCCCGCTGTCCCTCGACCATTCTCTCTCTTCTCGACCGAGTTTGTGCCAAACCACAAAGACCACCAAGACGATTTGTCCGTTTCGAGTTTCCCCTTGTTGCATCATAAATCCAGACTAATTAACGAAGAGTTCGGTAACGAGTTAACACGGTACACGCCAATCACCCGATTACATTGTATTATTTCACTTTCTTCCGCTTACATCGAACTGATCTAACGATACCGATAACATCAGCAGTTTAAGTCAACTTGGAAACTTCTAACCGTAGCAAGAATTTTTAATAATTATCGAAGATATTTTTCACCGTATATAAAATTGAATGAAAGAATTCGGTACGGTAAGAAGACAGATAGCAACATGGAAGGATAATATCAAGAGGTAAGGCGAATGAGGAAATCGAAGGAACAGCAGCAAGCGTAGATTTTATCGTTGACAGGAAGATATTGGCGCAGGTGGAAAGGCGAGCGTGTGAGCAGGGTCATGAATAAATATCAGTTCGACACGATGCGCAAACGTATGCAAGTTGGTATATCTGTTCGGAAATCTCTCGGGTGAGTTCAGTTCCTACGGATCTCCGGGGAAATGCAAAATAAGTGTTTCAGTTTCACAAATATCTTCTCGTGTGGAATATATAGACGCGACGTATCTAATAACTTATTTAATATAAGAGCGTTCTCGAAACCTAAACAAGCATTTACAAAACACACCCTTGAAGCAAAGAAAAATGGGATAATAGAATATTCAGACCCTGGGGAAGCCTGATCTGATCGCGAGTGTACCTATACTCTATCGATCTAAACTGAACCGAAGGAACAAAAGGGCTCGTTCTTCGATTCGAAGAAGGATATGCAATCGGGTTCGTGCAAAAATTTGAAGAAATCAGGAAGACATAAAGAAAGCATGAAAACGGAAGGTTTGCTCGAAACCACGTGTGTGGTCTGGTCGGTACACGTGTCGCCGATGTTCAGAAGCGTAACTTTTTGTCAACCACCGACGCTACCACTGGCTTTTTCCCGAGGAATTCCAAAATTCCACGGCGTTCAGCGACGAAAAGCGATTCGCGAATCGGTTCGAAAAGATCGCGTTTGGTCAACGTCCACGAGAATTCGTCCAACTCTGCTACGCAAGAAACGCGCTTGTAATTATCGCGAAGCTTCCCCTGGACTCATCCTCCCCAACCCCTCGGATCCAGCGAATCGATCACTGTCAATTCTTGCTCCTTTCTTTCGTCGAACTATTCGCATCGAACGGCGGGGAAAAAAACTGGCCAATTAAGCGAGAGACGATTTATCGCGGTACGCGGATTCTTGTATTTCCTTTTTATTTTGTAGGCGTTCAATTATTTTTCTGCGTAGCCGAGTTAATCGGTCTGCGTTAACATCTTGAGTATCCCGAGGTTCGTGAAACGAGGCGGTTAGACGGAGACAGAGTGAAAACACGACAAATTTTAAGAGATCGATAGGCACTTTAGTGATTTTATTAAGTACTCTTCTATCGCCTCGCGCTATCCTCCCCTATAGATACCAGGGATGTTTCCAGAGAGTCGGGGACGCGCTGCGCTTCGTTACACTCGTGGTTCCCTATCTAATAATAAAGTTCTAAAATTCTAAATTTATCAAATCACCAAACAAATTACGATATAACGATCGAGAACTCGTAAATTATACAATCTAATCGATACGATAAAAGCAATCAAAACCATAAGATTCTTTGGTATTTAAATAGCTCTGCGTTACAGAAATTGATTACGTGTTCAAGAACACGGTAGACTGAAAATTTGATCTAAAAATACTTGGTTTTTACGATCGTTACGATTTAAAGGCGACCGCTATGTCATCGCACGGCATTCACAACCCTTGTTCCGGAGACTTAAAAACTTTTTGGGAAAACCGCGAATTGTTTTCGAAACAGACGGATAAAGTATTTCATAAATATGAACGGTTTCTGGCACACGCGAATCCCAACGAAACAAAAATACCCCTGTTGTGGGTGCACGCGTGTCTATGTGTCATGCGACATTTCGAGTTCGCAAATTTCACGGTAAATAATCAAAGAATTCGTACTAACTTTGCTTGGACAAACGCGAATTTTCAAATATATCAGAGGTAAATTACCTACATAGTCGGTTGTGAAAATGTTTGTTATATTAAATTGTTTCTCTTTCGCGGATGAGTTAGTACAACATTTTGAAGCCATGCAATTTTCCTTTGTTGATTATTGTTCGATGTCAAACGTTCGAAATAAAGGCGAACGTTAATTGATATATAGTTGAATCGTGATTATTATTTGGAATGATACAGTGACAAAATATACACAGGTGCATTTTGAAAGCATTTGACTCTGGTAATATGTACATAAATAAAATACATATAAATTACGAGATACAGTGGATATATTTACAAAATATTATCTGTCCAAAAATGAAATATGGATCTGAATTGAAACAGTTTTCTTGTTATAAAGAAAGATAAAATCGTCAAAAAAGTATTCGAACTCTGTTCAGATATTAACACTAATATTTCTATCGTTCTTTATTACAAGGAAAAATAACAGAAGTTCCTTGATACGAGGCATCAAAGATGTTCATATGCTAGTATTTCGTAAGAAATAAAATTTATTTCGAAAACATGAGAAAGGTTAAAAGATTACGTAGTATACAGAAAGTCGGTATAAAAAGATCCTTTTCCTGGAATAAATAACTTTTGTTTTCTATTATTAGTCCTAAGGAGAACTAACTTGTCTTTTAAATAAAAAGATATAGCGACTAACGATAGAAAACAAAATTCCATAATATATAAAATCAAGTAATTACTGAAATAAAATTTCAACAAACAATTGTCTAATAACATTAGAAATCAATTTAATTCAAGATATCGTAAAAATACATGAGAAAAACTCATTGGTATGTACATATAATGCAAAATGCAAACTGTAAGGAATAAAAAATATCATATACGTTTGTGATATTCCCTAAAACATTTTCCTAGACACAAACCCGGATTATCTTTACATCCGCTACAGAAATAATTAGTTTCCTTTCTAACACAACTTGCAAAGCATTGTCTGCACCTCTTTCTTCTTACTTTATTATTTATACCTCTAGGCAACATTTCAGGTAAATGTTCGGATTCACGAAAAGGAAGTTGCACATTTTCCCTATGATTTTCAAACAACAAAGCATCGATGATGTTCAAACGAAAATCGTGAAAATTTAATTTTGTAGTTAAAGGCGAATACTTGTAATATAAAAAGAACGAATTCAACAATAACATTTCAATCGTGTTGATCCATAATTGAATGTACCATTTGAACGTTCTTCTCGAACAATTGTAACAGGATAACATTTGATTTCTTTTCGCTATACTGTTCATCAGTTCGTTATACTTATGCAAAGCCAAAGGTTTTTTAAATTTTTCCTTCCTTTTATTCTCCAATTCTATCATGTCCGCTGTAAACTCACTGGAGAGAAATAAAACTTCTCTCTCGTCCCTGAATTTACCGATCATAATATTATCTTTACGACGAGATATCACCTCGCCTTTGACGAGCCTCGTTTTGATTACATCCTCGCCATTTGCTTTTCTCAATCCTCGTAAAATTCCTGTGAAATAAGTTTTCGCTTCGAGTAATTGTTTGCTCAACGTGAAACTCGTACAAAAATGATCGGTGTACAGAGAGTGTCCTTTTTGCAAGAAATCCTCCATTAAACGTAGCGCCACTCTCGTTACGTGACCTTTAGCAGGAGCATCGTCTTCACTTCCGGTGGACGCTTCAATGCGAACAGCCATACCGGAACTCTCGGTTAAGACGTATAACTTAACGCCGCGTCGGTATTTTTTCTCGGCAATGTATCGTCGAAATGCTGATCTGTCTCTACCAGGAATCAACATCTCGTTAATGGCCAATTCTTTGTATGGATAATACACTTGCTTCATTTTATCATTGAAATAATCAATGAACGGTTGTATCTTATTCAAACGATTATCGCTTCCGTTCATCGAGGAGAAATGTAACGAGCGCAGAATATCGTGAAAACGGTTTCTGCTCATGTGTTGTGAAAAACAATGGAAACCAAACAGTCGATGAATGCTCCAATAGTTTTGTAGCTTGGGACATTTAATAGTACCCATGTGTAGCAACAGACCCAAGAATGTCCTGAATTCAGCAACTGTCAGCTCTTTCCATTGATTGTTGGTTTTAACTTCCGCGTATCGATTCGTCTCCATGACAATCGTGGAGAAGAAATAATTATCGAATAAAAATTCGAAAAAATTGTACGGGTCTGCTCCACTTGGTGAATCTTGCAAACCCGACTTTCCGTCGAAAGAAAACCTCTTAAAGTCACCGTCGCACATCCACTCGCCGGCGTCGTCGACGTCTTCGAACAATTCGTTTAAGTCTTCGCTTTCTAAATCTATGTCACTTTCGTTGTCCGTTTCATCGAAGGTCACTTCACTGTTATCACGATCAAATTCGTCGTAATGCATGTTCACGCTGTCTTGATATTCTATATCACTGTCATCACTGTCTTCGGTGGTTATTTTTCGCCTCTTCTGGTTACTTTTCGACAGAAAATCACCAGCCTCCTCGTCTTGATGTACATGCAGATGGCCAGTAGACGACGACGGTCCTGGATTGTTCATTTCTTCGCTATAACTTCAAAGCAATATCAATTTTAATGATTATCACAAGCTTTTCAATCACTTTCCGTCGCTACGTGCTTATTTCTTTGACTGCTTTTCGACTACTGACTGATTATATCAATTTCGTCCCACGACGCATATGGTGAGTCATCGGTTATGTAGGATAGATAGTGTATGACGCATAGGGTGCGTCGGTGGTTCGGAATGGAGTGAAGTTGACTGCATATTATCTCTCGATGCATATCGAAAGACGAACGTGAAGGTTACAAAAGCTGTGTTGCTTTAAACGATTCGATTACTGATAAAACAAAGCACTTTTTTTCAACAACAACTGTGTTAATAACAATAAAATGACGTCGTATCGCAAAGTATACACAACATGTTTTCGAATCGTTACACGTAGAGTCATCTGACAACATACGGACCAACCATGAAAGTGTCCAGTTTTATCGATGCCTGCCTAGAAGCAACGTTTTAACGATGTGGGAGGCCCGACTTAACCCCAAAATAGAGTAAACATTTATTTTAAAAAATGCAGTCAAGAGCCTGCAATTACACTGATGTTTGATTCATAGGAAACACAGTATGGTCGACGCGTGTACAAAAAATCCTAACTTCGTTGTCGTAAGACAGATTCAATGACATAATTCAAGCGAACGCATGTTCCGGATAGTTTCGACACGTCTATTTAAAATTAGTTGTTCGTGATCGTTGGTATCCGATAATATCGAATGAAAGGAAAATAGACGTATGAATGACAGCGTTAAAAAACAACGGAATCATTTAAGAAGACGAATGCAAAAAGTCGTGCGTGGGAACAAGGGTGTGAAGTAGCCGCGCAAACCATTGATTCTTCGCATGTAAGATTTTTAATTTACTAAGATTTCGGTACTCACCTAATTATCAAGGCCCGGCAGGGCCTGCACCATGTACCCCACTAAAATATATTCGATTCCTTTAACACTAAATGCGAAAAAACACTGCTCCGAATCACTTGTCACTAATTAAAGGCCTCGCGATGGCGGCCATAACTGCCGTCTATCTCTACCTTGCCACGCCGATCACCAGATGGCAGAACGGTAGAACTAAAGTTTTCAAGTATAAGTTTTCAACTAAAATTATTATATTTTCTGTGATTTTATAGATTATGACTTTCAATTATAGCAAAATTATTGCATAAAAAATAAGTTTTTACTGTAAGAACATCGTATGTACTTAATTTTCTATAATGCCTACTTACGTTAATACATATTAAGAAATAAGAGAAGTAAATGCATTCTTTTTAAAAAAAATCGACGTTCTCTTTTATTATTAAAAGAAACAAGCAAAATAGTATTAACGATAATGCAATTAATAGAATGTAATTAATTTGTTTAATTGTATCGTTAGTATTACATGCTTTTACCTTCATACAATTTAAATCCACCGCGCTCTCGCCAACTTGAACATCTGCTCCGTGTATCGAAGTTAGTGACAGGTTACATAAATCCGAAAACATGGTGAAAATTTTAAGGGATCTACTCCTTAGACCAGATCTCAGAAAGGTTCAAAATGAACCTTTAGGTATGTTAGGTAAAAGAATGTACGGTAGAAAAAATTGATTAAAAATATATATTCATTACAGCTAATAAAATAAAGTATTTTTGGCGTAAAGGATGGGAGGAAATGCCAGAACTTATGGTACTTATAACTCCTACTATAGTGACTCTATTCGTAACAGTGCACGTTATTCGTAAACAATTGGAAGAGAAGGATAAACTGCCACGATATTATAATGAATATACCGGTAAGTTTTTGCTTACTTTTTCCTAGTTAGGTTAGGTCGCATTATTATGCAAGTATTGAAACAGTACTGTTTGTTAACATCAGTTTTTTAATTCAATTTTCAAAACATGGAATACAGTATTACTAATGTTTATCTAATTTCAGTTTTCAGACCTAACAATCCTAAGGTTCCAAGAATTAGAACAGACGATTATTTGTCAATTGAAGAGCCGCAACACACTTTGTCTTAAGAAAAACAATTTAACCCTAGAATTTAAATAGTATATCAAAGTGAATCAGTGTTATTCATGTATAGTCCATAAGATTCTTTAATCATTCTTCAAACAAATAAAACAAATTATTAATAAAGGTGATTAATCCTAGTTTAATATGATTTCTAAAACTTACAAACTTCTACATATATAGTTATAATATAATGAAAACACTTTATGTATAATAACATTATAGTTCATCTTTTATACGGCATCTTCTTACTATATGGATAAGTTCAATGAACCAATCTTGCATAAGTAATTACAAGAGACAACGTATGTTAGTGCAAATTAACAAGTTCAGAGGTTTATATTTAGCCTCTTTATCTATAGAAGAAGAGGCATTAGCTTGAATGTAATAGAAAAGCGTATCAGATAGTTGTACCTATGTAAGTGTACACAACATTACCATTACCAGACCTTTATGCATTAAAATCGATATACATATTAAACAGATTCGAGAAGGTCAACCCGATCTCTATCTAGAGTAGAACGTTTCTCGAGAAAAATCTACGACCGTATTCATACATGAAAGTTACATGTCAAAGTTGCAAAGAAATTCATTCCGAGAAGGAAGTTCATTTCGTTGAACGAATAAACACACACCTGAAACTGAGTGACGTTTATCGAGCGAATATTGTCTCCGTTTCACTGTGACATTTGACCCGATATCAGCTATACAAATGTCCCGTGTATTATATTTACCGACCTCTCTGCATGTAGAAAGTTTGCACAAGTTTGCTCTCACGGAACGATAACGAATGTCGTTTATCCCGTGAGGAATGTCCGAACTTTCGAAGCGTACAAACAAATCCCGATAATAGCGCGCAGGATCGTAGGATCGTGGCGACCTGTTCTTCCTTCTGGTACAACATGTGTATGTATATCGTTGTGCCAACGGCGTTAAACGAACCCCGTTGGAAAGGGATGGTCGACGCGAGGAGGAGAAGGGTGGCAATGAACGAGGATGGAACCGACAGGAGCAACGGAGAAATCTACTTACAACTACACCGACTTGTTAGAGTAAAATGTGGTAGTAGGAGCAACAGGAAGAAGGGAGGCAGAGGGTGAAGCTGGATAGACAGTAGCAGGAAGAGGGAGAGAAAGCGAGGCTACCCCATAAAGTTGTATCGAAGGGAAGGAAGACAGGCAGAAAAGTGGCCTGAAGTCAAAGAGAACGTGGAACGGGCCAAGATATCGGGAACAGAAATACACCGGTCGTGGCGAAGGGTGTACGAAGAGGACGAGGTAGAAACGTGTAAAAGAGAAATAGCGAGGAAAATAGGGTGGAAGGGAGCAAGGGGTAGGGTGGGGGGAGAGAAGGCAGAGCGGGAGAAAGAGGTAGAGGGACCTCCACGATACGGACCACCCCTCGGTGGTTTGCCAGTGGTTCAGTCAGCGCTTCGCACCGGCGTCGCTTCTCTGCTGCTCGGGTGACTCGTCTCGGTCAGCCTCGTGCAGATAATCGCGTGGCTGCTGGATGTCGTCGCGAGATCAATGAGAGAACGTGTGTACCGCGGGAAGAACATCGACGAGGCCACAGGTGCGATCGAGTCATCGATACCTTTGTTGGTTCGTTCTGTATAAAAAAGGTGCTCCGAACGGGCGCGATAGCTGTACGTTCGAGGCCGTTACGTGTATGAACCTTGTGAATCGCGAAGTGTCTCGCGAGAGAAGAGAGAAGAGGAAACAGAGGATTCGAGAGGAAAGGAACGAGGTGGATTCAACGAGGACCTGAACGGGTCCTTAAAGCCAAGGATCGTGCATGTCTCAGACCCTGCCTCTTAGCTTTTCACCTAGCAAAGCTCTGCCTACGTCCCTGAGGTAAGCACCAGGTTCCCATTGAACGCATTTTCGATCGTCAACCCCTCGACTATACCCTTCGACGAGCTGATATTTTATGGTTTGTACGACCTTCGCCAAGGTTCACGGTTAGACGATTTATTTCGACGGTGTTCCCATCTTATTCTTCGTGGGACGTTGGCCCCACGTAAAGTGGATCTTTCGAAGATTAATCGAATAATACATTATTCAGAAATTTCGTTGGTAACGCGCTGTCGACACTTTTGGAATGTATAGTAGTATGGAAGTGATTTAAAAGCAGGAGATATTCTCGGTAACTGGTCGGGCGAAAACGAGGGGTGTAAATTTTAATTTAACCATACCCCGTCTCCACGAGACACTTAGAGTGTAACGAGGGTTCCTCGACCCAACCGGACGATCAATTATGGTCTTTCGTTGATCCGTGCGTCCTTTCCCGAAATGCTTCGTTAAGTTAAATATTCCGTGGCCGACGGATCGTTCCTTTTAATTATTCCTTCTCGACAAACGTTTTACTAACCCTCCTGTTGGTGAACGCGTGTTCGTTAGAAACAGACACACAGATTTCCAGAACAAACTTCCCGTCGTAGGCAAAGTTTTGCCATTGTAACTTGACTTTCCAAAGTGTTCATTGATCGCACGTTCCATTGCAATCTGATCCTCCGCTGATCATTACCGTCGCAATCAGCCCCTAACGTGATCGCGTGTGCTTTCAGTCGCAGGATCAAGATACGACTCGAATATCCATGTTAGGGCACAGAAACGTTAGCCTCCATTCCCCTTATTCGTCAATTATTTTATAGTTTTATTTATCGCCATACGTATGCATTTAACCAACTCGAGGGAAGATAAAAGCAGCAGGGTGAAAGTATTCCAGTAAAAATAAAATTATCGTCTAAGAGTAGTTTTATTATGTTGTACTAAAAGCAACCTTTTTTTCCCCTAGAAACACAGCAAATAAAACATCGAATAAAAATCGAGCAGAAAAAGAGATGATCATTTTATACTTTAAGAGTCGTTATTAGAATTCCTCGTTGCGTCATTCCTAGCAGTGTAGGGCACTCGTGTCTAGATTTTCGCTTGGTCTATTCGAACAGCGTCGAATACCGCGCGTTCAGGCCCACTTGACATCGATCTAAATGCTCGATTATTCTGTCGGTCGCGCTTCTTATCTGGCGTGTCGGTATTTTCCCTCATTCACCAGTATCAACGGGCATGTTCGGCGAACGCCAAATTGGACGGTGGCCAAAAAGCGTGGAACACCATGGCTGTTGCACGTAGATGTGCACTAGACACAGCTGTTAAACCCGACTTGTTGCACCATCGAACAAACAGAGCCACGTTGCATGTTCACGACCCCCTTGTACACCTTGTTGATCATCCATCTTGAATTAACCCCTTTCGGTCGAATTCTAACTTGTCAAAAGTATTTTTATCTTTTAACATTTGTTTGCTTCTTGGTCTTCCTAGGGTTAATATTGTACTGTTAACCGTAACTAGCAGTTTGAAGAATAAAAAAAATCGTATGTCAGTTATTGTGTTAAGGGAAGTACAGTGATTGGTATAATTGTAATGTCCAGGTATAGCACGGGTCATTCTATTAACAATGTTTAAAGATACGATTATTAAATTTTTCAATTCAAGCTTTTAACATTACCGTTCCTTTTCCATGCTGGTAGATTGAAAATAATTGCCTTAAGAAGATTACGTTGCATTTACCTCGGCAAGATTTCTTCCTGTTTCTTAGAAGATAGAAGCTCTTCTCTCTCTTGGAAAGAGTTTTTTTTTCTTTCTCTTCTTTACAGTATTAAATTTCCATGATTATCTGATCGACGTTTCTATCCTCTGTTTACTTTGCTCTGCAAATTATACATTTCTCGAAATTTCTTTTGAAAACTGAAATCACAAATAGTAACTTTGTGCCGAATTTAAATCACATACCGGGTTAAATACGATCGTGTTTTGTAATGTTCACGCGATCCTCGAGTTCAATTTTATTTCTCCGCCCTTTATCCACACCTGATTAATAGGATGACGCGTTTTTTCCCCCTGTTAAACTTCCGGCTTACCAGCCAGAGTTGGCCGACGACAATTTCTGACGCGGTTAATTCGACGAGTGGCAGGCTTAATTAAAAGGCTGCCTTTCGAGCTGCCGCTGCACGAATGTCGAAGCAAAAGTACGCGTGTTTGTCTGTTTGTTTGCGCTCGTGCTTTTTGAGGCTCGTTTTCAATGCGAATTGTTTGCATCACTCTACCGAAACTCTCTGCGTTATGAAAATCTTCTACCTTATACGCACCCTTCGTCGTCGCAAGCATTTTTCAAGAATGTAGGTCCGTTTATTTCTTTTTTTTTTTCTTACGCCCGTACGTTCTATTTTCGCGAACGACAAAGACTATTCCGAACGTGATTCACGAGCTGATGCACTTTTCATGCATCTGTGCACTCGCGTTTTGGGACCGACTGCAAGTGCAGTGTGGAGCAGGCTTCTCCAGGGAAAATGGCGTTACATAAAGGGGACGCGACGAAAATTAATATTAGTTAATAATTAATTCACCGCTAATCATAAACATCCTACGTTTATGATTATGTTCTATACTCAGCCACTTCCTTTTGGAAAATCTCTATACATATTTGTGTTCATGAAAATGACCTACTTCCTTCCTTCTCATACGTTATCCTGAGATACTGTTATGTTTCGAGAACCTAATCCTACGGTCGTGTTCCGAAACTTTAAGGTATAACCGGGCAGGTTCAGCAGCTACCGAAGTGCCTTGGATTGAACAGTTCCGTGCGCCTCGCTCGATCGTTCCATCCGTTCCTCTTCCCGGCAATCGTGGAACGATCATAAAATAGTTTGCTCTCGAGGAACGAAACACGGTTTTATCATACCCGCGCTTTCAATAGAATCCTGCATCGATTAGACCAAGCTGGACGAAGACAATGAGCGATGCGATAATTAGCGGTTGAAAATGCTGTAGATGCGGTCGTGGATCGGTTCGGTGATCGACGCTAATGACGATGAAACGTTGCCTTGTATTTCGTCGCTCGAACGCAGCCAATTCGATTCTGATAATTAAACCCGATTTAACGAGACGCGCGAATTTTTACGGCCACGTGCGCGTCGGTGGTTGATTTCGATGACGAACTGGAACACAATGGATCGTGCTTCCGACGAGATGATAAGCGACACTCGGTCGTATGTCGGTTAGAGAGAATGAAATATATTGACTGCTACGGAGCGATTAGAATCGTCACGAAATATTAATACACCTATGACGCACTATAATTCTCGTGCACGAAGCAATCTACAGACACTAGCTGCTATCATGATTATTATCCACGAAACAAAAGCGCACCTTTAGATTACATTATCCCGGGAGTGACCTTATTTTGAGTAAAAAAACAGATAATTATCTACCCAAGTTTGAAAAAAAATTGAAGCTAGGAAGGAAATAGCAGATAATTACCAAAAAAGTAATTGGTGCTGGAAATCTTCGCAAAGCTTTATCCTTCCTTAGCGCAGAATCAATAAGCGATAAATCTAATCATTCTATATCGATAAGGTTCAGGAGTGGGTTAAGCGAAAGAAAAAGGTTCACCTTGAAATTCCTAATAGAAATAAAGTTTGTCCGTGTGAACAAGTTAAGCCAACCTGGTTCTAACAAGACGCGATCCCGTTAAGTGGAACACGAATCGCGCAGAGGGTCGAGTTATCGAGACTCCTGTAATTCGTTCGTCGCGACAACTTCGTTTGCCCCGAGGCAGACGTTCCCACGGGATTCATCGGTCATCGAAGAAGGAAATTCGCGTATACGCGTGTCTCGCTGTTCCAGCTTCCCGGAGACGATCGGCTAATTCGTCGAGTTCAAGATGCAAAACGGATAATCGTTAATTCCCCGTGCTGAATTTACGAGCTCATTCATCGCTGATAACCCAGATGGATAAGTTAGTTGCATCGAGTCGATTTCTCGCCGTCTCCAACCGAATGTCGAATATACGGTGTTTCGATAAAGTTTGTCCACTGAAGATTCTCCGTTTCGAAATAAATCCGTAAACCATTTACCATTTTTTCGCACGGCAATAGGAAAGCTTAGAATTGTACGTGGAAAAATGTGAAAATTCCGATCGATCGAGGGTGGAATTAAACGATTTCCTCCCTGTCAGCTTTCCAGGCTATTAAACCATATTTCTCGTTAAATATACACCGATCGATCGTATGTTTTATTTATAGAGAAAGTTCCATGTCGCGCAACTGGTGTTCAAGAAACTCATTAGCCATTATCGGGTCAATAATCTTGAAAATATGAAATTCAATTGAGAAATGACGCACGGGTTAGATCTCGTAAATATATCGTTTTCTTTCCCTCAGAACGAGGGATCCTTTATCCTTTATTCGATCATATTTGTTGGGGACCATTATCGGATATTTATATGGGAAAGATGTTCGAATGCTACGAGAAACTTCGTTTCGAGTCTGTTGCTCGTCAGCGAAGAATTATCGTGTCCTTTTAAGATACTGCTAATTACAAAACGAGCAACTGGTCCCAAACGTGCGCAACCTGGAATCTTAATGAGGTGTCGGCTGAAGTTCACCTGATAGCTGATAAAGCGGCCTGTAACGCGGCTGATAAAGACCCTTGGTGTAGCGAACCGGCTATTAAACGGTAAAAGACTTGCTCGTTGGTTAACCTCGCGTCTAGTGAACCGTGAAACGCGTGCTCTTGCAAAGGGATGTATAAATAATCGAAGGAGTTCTTTGAACTGACACTCGCTAGAAGAAACGTGAGCAATTTCAATTCAATATTAATTCGATTAACAGCACAAAGAATTTTACACATTACCCTACGGCGATAGGATTTAATGTACGGAAAATAACGCGGATACGTTTTATCGGTATCCCCAGAAATGAGATTGTCAGCACAAAGTCGATAAGAGAGCATTGTCCAAGTGGGTGGTTACGATTTGACCACGAATGCCCATTACAAATGATAATGTCTCGCCTTTCGTGGTAGAAAATCTGTAGACCGAGTGGCGACTATGCAAATGGTAACTGCTCGCCTCGTTATCTCTTATCTTGCCGGCGTCCTGCAACCGGATAATCCCTGGTGAATCCGTCTAGCACGGCTTAACAGCCGCGACAAGAATCCTCGACCGATTCACCTCTGATTGCACCTTTTCAGACGAACAATGCAGACGAAAGTTTTCATTGTCAGCCGAGACTTATCACGCGATGCTCATTTACATACTCTTATAAATTTGTTCAACACCGTTTGATCGTTGATCTCGATACTAGTGAACGTCCGAAAAGATAGCTACCCGGACTCAAGGTATCGCAATTTGTTTCCACGAGAAGATTAACCGTGTTCCCTTTGCTCCGGTAAAAGGCTTAGCGAAGCGAATGAAATACGAAAGAATCGCGACAGCTCGGTGAAGAAGCATCCTCGAAAGAGATTCGGGCACAGCACGCGTGGAAAGTATCCTAACAAAAGAACGGAGGTAAAAGTGGTCGAGAGGGGAAATGCCCGGAGCAATACGTAAGACTTGGCAAGGGATAAGAGCAAATTTAGGAATCCCTCCTGGTGCTTTGGTAAACTCTCGTTCTGTTCTTTTTAAGCAAACCTATCCCTCCGTCGCGTAGAGTCGTCTGTTTCAGAGATATCCTCTTTTTCCGCCACCGTGTGTACGGCAACAAACCGACCGTTTGTTGGTCCACGACGCTTCTAGATTAAATTTCTAAAAAGAACTAGATCGACCAAAGGAGACGTGTCCGACTCGAACACCGTGCTGCATTCAACGAGATTCTTCCTTCGAATTCCTACGAAAATTTCTTGCCCTCTTATGGAATATACAGAACGTTTTCAAACTGATGGTATGTACCATCCATAAAAAGTAAATTTACGTAACAAAGAGAAACAATGAAAAGCTGTTCCGTGGAACGGAATATAATTTCTTCGTAGTTGCACCGTAAAATGTTTGAACTGACAAAAGAAATTGCAAAGATGCAACGTGATCGTTCGAGAATCGCAATAACTGGCGATTACGTTGAAAATGGTAATAAAGCGCGCTTTTATTTGCCACTTCAAGATTCTCTTCGCGTTTAAATATTTAAAGCGTGAAAGTGCCTTTAGAGCGTGAAACCGTGCCGGCTGGCTCGAATCCTGTTCGAAAGACGATAAAACTATAGGGACAACATTGTTGCTTACCGATGCAACAAGCAGCTTAATGGACCTTTTAATAATTTCAATACAACCGCTTTGACCAGCATCAGGTGTCCTGTTTCATTATGCATGCATTGCGTTTAAGAATGCGGAATTTAAATGATGTTTTATTGCGCTCGCGATCCTTAGAGCTCGGTGTGCGTCTTGTAAAGGAATTATCAAATTCTGAAAGAAATTGTATAAAAATTAAATCAAGAAAAAAGAATCGAAATATTTGAGTACCCAGTAAAACGCGAGAATATAAATTCCAATGTTTGAAAGAGGTGTAATAAAATCCCCTCGAATGAGTTAAGTTATTTCACGGGTGAAATTTTTCTGTTCTCCTAAACAAGTCGCGTGATGGCTGTCCTTTTACAACCTATGCATTTTTCAGACCAATTCTCCCCTTTGTTTCCATGCTACACGCTCAACCGTTTCGCCTTTCTTTAGCCTTTGAATAAAACAGGAATAAAAAAAAAATGGAACAGTAATACAGTTGGTTATCGTTAGCTACGATGTTAGTCGGATAACCTGGGACAAAGACCAAGTTCCCGATTGTATCCCGTAAAGCCGTGGTCCGATTCTCGCGTCTACGCGAGTAATATCGTCGCAGCAAGGTATAAATTTAAAGTTGCCATTATACGATGACACGAGCTGCGATCCACGACCAACCGGCTCAACTTTGTTCCAACTGTCTCCGCGATACGATTAAGTTGAGAACGTGGGGTAAAGCCGTTGGAAATTTTCAACGGTTCCATTATTTGCGTGTTAACGTAAGTGGGTCGCTTACACGCGAATACCTCGAAGACCATGAAGCGAACCTTTCAGGAAACTGGAACCGTGTCGAGATTGTCCTGCGGCCTTTCAACGCGAGCTTCGCGAAAGGTGTTCGTCGATCGGTTCTTACAAGAATTATAAGTCTGAACTTTGAACAGAGAGTCAAATTTATTGAAACCATTCAGATCGATGGCACACTTTACGATATCGGATTACGCGAAATCTAGGTGACACGAAGAATTTTTGTCATCGAATAATATCAAAGTATATAAAAAGAGGTAATAATTTGGTGTGTCCCAAAATAAAGTTCAACCTGAAATAAAAAATAGAAGGAATCTATGCCAATCGCTTTGTCATCGTAAAACGTTGGAAAAGAAAATGTTGCGAAGCTAGGTATATATTTGTAATAGTCGAAGGCTGTGGTGCGATGAAGGATGTTCCAAAGCTTTTGATACCCTGAATATATTATACTCTATTTAAGTAATTCAACGTGCGAACTTAATCTGAAATTCAACCGTTCGCTCAGTGATTTATCGTGACGTAAACGACCCGATTAAATGAAAATCGTTGCACGCGTTCATTAATAAACGTTCCACTGATTACGCGATGATCGCACGCACAAAGGAGTAATTTACACGAACGAAACACGTGCCCCGACAAACATTTGCCCGATCGATTTTTACGTAATAACTCTTTCATCCTCGTAACAAGGCCGGCTGTGTTTAAAATGACAGGTTCGAACAAAAGGACGGAGGATCGTTTCCGTCATAATGCGTATTGTACGAACCTCCCCCACGTTCCCTGTTGGGATGGGTTCTCTTGTTACGCGCCGCCAGAGACAAACCAATTCACATTCGAGACAAAATTTTATATGCGGGATAATTGCCACCCCTCTCTGCGACACAATGGACTACCCTGCCGGAAAAGATACGACTCTTTGTCGACGTCTGCTTTGAACGATTTGGATATTTCTACTCCAGGGAATTCAAGCTTGACGCCAAGCAACTTGTATAGAACTACCTTAGGGGATGATTTAAATCAAAGTATTTGTGTTTATTTTAATTGGTAAGCATGGAATTTGAAAAGGGGAAAATTTCGAGGGTGAATTCTCCATTTACTGAATTAAATTTATAAATTTCATTAAAAACATAAATAACTTTAATAATTTTGCTGTATTAAATTTTGCCTGTAAGAAGTTTTTATTTGAAGCGAAATTTTTACACAAAAACGGATAACTTTCCAACTTTGACCAGTGATCGACAGGAAAAGGACCGCAAAAGGGAGGGTTTGATGAAATTGCCCGAAAAAAGTGTGTTAAAGGGACGTGTCGGGAAAAACGATACGGGCTTATAATTTTTTTCCTGTCCGCACGACTGAGAACACAGAAAAGGGTGCGAAGGAAAGTCGAAGGGGTGACCGTTCTTCCTCGACCTCGAGATACGTGAACCAAGAAGGGAAACACCTTTAAAGGTGCTTTGACTTCGAAAAGTTCGCCGAGATATTTAAACGAATGATTGATAACATTTTCGATCCCCTTTCAAAGGAAACCGACCCCATTTCGATGAAAACCAGTGGATCTCGGTTCGACAATGGAACAACGTTTCCCTTTTTCACGGGGTTCTCCTTTAAAGAAAATTCCGCGTTTGCTCGCCGAGACAACCAGAAGGGAATTGGATTTTTCACGTTGCAATCGTTAAAACGATGAATCGTGAAAAGTCATGTAAATAAATTGAATAAACTGTGGAAAGGAAATTGACATTTTCCCTTTGATTCGGGGCTATTGAAATGTTCAAAATTTCAACATCGATCATTTGTTCCCCTTCTTTTTTTTGCATGTCATCGAAGTGTCGTTCGTTGTCAAATTAAAAGTAGTAATAAAAGATAGGGCTTGATGGTTCGTGGGAGGTCAGACGATGAATTATTCGAATCACTTTGCGTCAGAAACCGCAGCTCAGTTAATTATTGAAATTAGCGGAAGCGATGTTTCGGCGTAGCATCGATAATTGTGTCTCCAGATTATCCGAGCAGGGAACGAAACGAAATTATTCCAATATGTCGACGGATGCACGTTAATTACCCTCGTCTCTAGATAAATAATAGAGATACACTAGATAAAATTGCGGACCAGCATGTTGGTTTGCAATTTTAGAATTCAAATCTGTAGTTGTATACGATATTATTTATTTAATACTTTCCTTGCTACGTTTATTATCGGTAAAATTTTATAAAAAAGAGAAATCAATTTTTTATATCTTACTTTAGGAAAGTAGTACAAATATATTAAATAATTAAGTACATTTATTTTCATTTCAGCATTTAACCTTAACGTGTCAATAACAATATAATTCGTTTGACAGTAGTATAGGTCAACCATTGAGTCGACAGTACCGGATTGAAGCGATTGCTCCAAGCTCGTAATACTTAATAGATAATCATCACCTAATGAATATTACCTACTATCAGGTCTTGTTATATAAATTTGAAATGCAATAATTATTTAACTGACAGGTTTGAGGCGTAATCTGGCCAATTCTTGCAAGGTGAAGCTATTGTGAATCAAATAAATATTAATGCGAAAAATGATACGATTTCCTTGGGTGAAACGTGAGTCGGGATCATCGGATATCCGTGAATTCATAGAGTGCAATTTCGTTGAATTCAACGAGACACATTTTTATTATACGTATCGGCTCGTAGTAGAACAACTGTCTGAGGAATCATGTGTCAGTACTACTGGAAAGTGGGCTCCGAAATCTTATGGAATTCTACTTTTCGACGTATAGGTAACTAGGATTTTTGGGAGGTGGGCCAGATTCCTAAAATTTCGGAATTTTGGAAATCTGACATTTTATTTTGAAATTTTACATTTCTAGAATTTTGGAATTTCGGAATTTTACTTCGGAATTTAAAATTTTAGAATTCTGGCATAGTGAAGTTTAAAAATTTTTCAGTTTTAAAATGATGGTAAGATGACTAGTAGGAATTCATGAAAAGTGGTGGACCTTGTTGGGTCCTCTTGAAGGGTAGTCTGGTACAGTATTGACTATACTATGTACTTAAATTACCTTAGGAATTGCAGCAAAACTTCAGTGATATCTCCCTGCGAGGAATGAAGATCTTCAACTTGAAAAGAGGTAGAAATACGCGTTGCTGTAGAAATCCATGACATGCAAGAATGTATATAAAAATATTTGATTTCGCATTGTTATGCGTATCGTGTTCGCTTGTTCGAATCAAGGCACACGAATAATGAATGTACCGAGTTAAATATTCATGTGCATCGATGTTTTCCGATGTGTACAGACTGATTTGTCGTGAAACGAATGCGCTGCGTTTTAAAATGGTACCAGCAACGTTTAAAAACATTTAATCAAATTTCACTAGGTGCGGTTAAAACGCGTTGAACATTTTAATATTTCGTTCAGATTTCTTCGCTAAACGGATCATTGCAATCGTTTGTGCATCTTGAATGCATCGATGCAAATACTTTGAATAACAGCTAATAATAATGTTTTGTTTCGTTTAACAGTACGATAAACGAATTTCAAAGTGTATTTTTCCAAAACGAAACGAAATGATTTTATTCTATTTTTATGTCGAAAATCGCTTTTTCAATATTTTCCTTCATCGAACCACTCTTATTCTATGAAATTCAACGCAAACACGCGGAACTTTGGAGAACTCTGTTCTATTTTCATGGAACATTGGCGATACGAAGCTCGTACGCACGGTTGAGGTATTTGCACAGTTAGAATAATTACGAATGTACCATTGTGTACTCATTCTCGTTATCATTTCATGCATTTTACAGTTAACTTTAACGTATCGTTTGCAGTTATTGCCTTTCAGCGAATTGCAAGTTCAGTAAATTAAATTTCAGTACCAAAACAACGATCGTTGTAGCGAAATTAATTTATGGCTTGATTCGAAATGAAAAGAGAGAGACATTGATCCAATTCGAACTAACGTAATACTGAAAAATACTTGTTACAGCTGGAGGCGTGCGGCCGACTCCTGTGCTGCGTGCAGAGGCTGTACAGAAGCGGAAGTGCAGTGGAAGAGGCCGAGCAACGTGTGAACCGAGGTCGAAGAGGGGCACAGGCGGGCCCCGAGCTGGAGGGGCCGTCAGGCTCGGAGGATGGCATCCTCCCTATACCAGTCAGCCCGAGTCCTGCATCCACATCTTCGCAGGAGGATGCATGCAAACCGCCTCCAAGGAACTGTTATCGCCTCGTCATGCTTGGTAGCGCGAGAGTTGGCAAAACTGCTATTGTAGCACGGTAATTATAAACTAGAGTTCAAGACGGAGGAGCAATGTTACCTTTCTGGGTCGCCTTTTAGTTCCTAAAATACAACTGTTGGAACGTAGTAAAATGAAAGTGAAATAGGAGTTGCTTCCTTTATACAACAATAGAGAAGTAGTATAAATGACGGGTTGCTACTCGGACCGGCGATACATTCTAGTTAGAACCCTAACTCTTTACATAGGACGGTACATATTTTTTCGTTTTGAGCAGAGCAAGAGATAAGGATTCTCCCTCGGGCATAGACATCCACGATTTTACTGTATACTAGTACTGCATTAACCCTTCAGAGATAGGACGGCTACGAGGAGGATGGAGAATTTAAATGGGAGCATCTACATACCTTCGTCGCTTACGGATGTATGAAAATGTTTTCTCCCTGGAAGTTAGTGTTCGAAGGTTATAACAGAAAAAGAATTGTTGTGTAGTTTTCGTCGATGAATTAGAAAATTTATTTCGCGAACGTTTATTTCTAAAATTAAACCCTTTCAAAAGAATCAAATACTCGGAACTCTTTGGTCCATTTAAAGGGTGTAATTTTGCGAACGACAGTGTGCAAAAGGTTTTCGAGAACGTTTTTGCCCTGTGTCCGAAAAGCGAGTTCACCGTGGGATTAAACGATGTAGCTCGAAATGATTTCAGACATCAATTTTAAGGTTGACCGGCATTGATTCGATGTAAAACCAACGAGAACTTCTGATCCGTTTCAGAAACTGGAGCGCTTTTATCGTATCGGTGATACTATTTTTCACGACCTTGTATTTTTTATCGACGACCGCGATCCTATGACATTTCTGATTTTCTTTGAGAAACTATCGTTTCTAAAATGAAGCAAATTTTCGAAGAACGATTTTCCTATGGTAGAAAGCATACAAGAAGTAGTTTCATTAGTTTCTCTATAAATAGAAGAAATAATGTTTCGAAATCCATGAAAAAGAGAAAAGTAGAAAAACTTGCCGATACACAATTTAACGCTTTATTGCAGCAACGATGGTCGGTTGACCAACGACGACGAAACACCCACTGTGAACTGCTTCTAAACGTATTGGCTCGCTTCCGCCCGAAAACCAGAAAGCTTTTATCAGGCCAGGGTATTTTTAACCCGGAGGGAGAAAACGGGGAAACGTGGATCGACGGAAAATCTGTCACCAATTCGCTAGACCGTGCCATTTCTCTATCGAGTATTCGTCGAAAATCTCGTCAATTAAAGTGAAAACATTCCGCGATATTCAGCCGCGCGACACGTCGAGCTCGTTAACGCCTTTCATAGACAATATGTTCTCGTCTCCCGAGTCCTCTGTCTGACAATCCAGGCTTCAGATTGAAACTGGAGTTCTGAATTCGCCAAGAATAACCAGAATGGGTATAATGCAACTCGCATTGTCTCGAGCTTCATTAACGCGCGCGTGGACGCGTCTCGTTCGAGATGCAACTTGCTAATGGACTCGGTTAGAAGTTTCCCGTTCAATTTGCCGCTGATTTCATCGAGCACCCGGTTCTTCTAGCATGTTACAAACGCGGCCAATTTTCACGGGAAACTTTATTCGACGAGCGCCGAAGCGCTTGGCCAGCGTGTTCGACGAAAAACCTGTTCCCCGGCTTGTGTCATTATCGTTCGATGGAATACTAATTGCGTTTCCGGGCTATTTTCGAGCCAACCCGCCCCGTGTCCATCGTTACGCGGACAGTGCAATTATCTCTAGGGAAATATTCGATAGCCTGGAAACGTGTTTACGTGGATCGCTCTGAACTTTTTCAGAGAAAGTAGAAAATTCTCAAAATTTTCAGCTTGATATCGGGTAGAACGCACGGCTGAACAAAATACACGTGAAACCCGATACTCGTGGTCAAAAGGTTCTGCATGATCGGTCGTGGAAGCAAACTCGACTTTGAGCTTGCACGCTTCGATCGTTGCTAATGGGACAAACAATTTAATTCCATTCGAAATCCGATCTGCGATGCTGGTATTAGTGCGAAAGGGATCCGATTGAATGCCGTATTCGTCGTTCGGCTACCTAAGCACACGTTCCGAACGGAGGAATTTTACGTACATATATCTATGTACATACATACGTGACCGAACGTGAAAATAAAGGTAACAGTGAGAATCCTGAAACTTTTCGATTATCCCATTTCAATTCAACTTGTATAACGTTATCTCAAGATTGGAGGAACTCAGAGCTGCGTGTAAAGATAAGAACGTTTTGTGTTCAGATTTCTGTCCAACAAATTCGAGGAAAGTTACACGCCGACGATCGAGGACTTCCATCGAAAGCTCTACAGGATTAGAGGTGAGGTCCATCAGCTTGATCTTCTGGACACGAGCGGAAACCATCCGTTTCCCGCCATGCGACGATTATCCTTCCTAACGGGTAAGTTTGCTAAATTGAATCTGTAGAAATGTCGAATATTTAGATGAGTGAGTCGAATTTTTTCTCCGTACTCTGCGATCAGAATCACGGAGGAATATTTGTTTCGTGCGAAAGAGCAGCGTATGTTTAATAATATGATTTATTTAATGGAATTAGGTTAAATATATTTAAAAAACGGAAAAACACAACTCGTTATACTTCATACGACTAGCGACTGTTTCTATCAACCAATCAATTCATGATCCTTTCGACTCTACGCAACGCCTAAAATATTTTATTAGTATCCTAGTAATATAATATACTTTAGCTATATTGGCAAAAATATTGGCAATATAAAAATAGCCTTCTGTTTCCTAAACACGAGATGCGTCTTGGCTCCGTGCACGACGAGTCAAGATCCGCTTCCGCAACTTGTTGAACAGCCGTTCTTCCATCTAGCCCGGTAACTTCGTTTCGGCGGAGTTTCAGCCAAGTTCGAGAGAGAGAGGAAGAGTCTCGATATCGAGCGAAATATCGGTCGAACAGCGAAACTCGACGACATCCTAGAGAATACTTGTCGGCCGGATTCCGCTGGAGAGTGCAAAGCACGATACAGCACGGCAGGCACGTATGAAAATCCAACGGTAACATCGGCATCCTATCCTCGAGGGTACGCTCGAATGGCATTCATCGGCGCGCGCTACGCTTTTAGCGATTCTCCGCAATTTTGCGAAACACGCACAGTCAATATTTGCGCCGGAGTTCAACTGTTTTGCCGGGAAAGTATGCGAGTCGACCGGACCAAGCGCCGAGGAAAAAGTGGTTGAAGAATGTGTGCGGCCGCTGTCGGCGTCCTTCGGATGCTTGAAATCGAGGGAAAAAGAGGGATCCTCCGTGAAATTGTGGGAAATGGACGTTAAAATTAATACGAGATTAATAACCGTGTATTAATAACCGTGTACTCATTTCGACGTTGACGTTAAAAAATTTACATCTGACCGTAGATTTACACGGTACTCGAACGGCACCGTTTCGAATTATCACGCTCCAAGAAATACGATAAAACTTGCTCTTACGCGGAACGATTTAACACGCTCGAATAAATGAGCAAAAGGTTCATTTTAGTAATTATGAAAGAATGAAGAAAGAGAGCGAGACACCTTTTTATATTAATAATAGGGGTGTAAGGGTATCCGAGATTTCGGGTTCGAATCGGACGGGTACCCGTATCAGGGGAACACTGTGAGGAAGCATCGAAGAGTATCTACCTCCCACTTTCTCTTCCGGAAAAATGCATTTGCATCACGCGTGACGCACGTGACGACTGCAGCTACATGTACACGATCTTGTGTGCGTATTCGTATTGATCAATTCGGTTTACGAAACACACGTATACGTCACGTGTTTTCCTGTGCAATATACTGTCACCACGTGAACACCTCTGCACCCGTCGATCCTGAGAATTATCGAATTGAAAAAAAGAAATTGCCGATTGCTCGGTGAAACTGGTTGACCTCGGTATATGGTTCCTTTCACGCTGGACAAATTTTCAGATTGAAGAAAATATAATTTCATTAAATCAAAATGTCCTTCAGATTGAATTTATTACATTAATAATAGTTTATAATAAAATGGTTTGTTGTAATTATGGAGTCGCTGTCGTTGCACAGAGAGGCTGGAACAATAATAATGGTTGAATTATCACTGTTATCATATATTTGAATAGCACGGTGGAACAAATTTTCAGGTCACAAATACGATGATATTTATCCTTTTAATCATTCCGCTCCATCGTGATTAATGAAATCGTTGTAGCCCCATGTTTATCTCCTCGTTGAAATATCTACCCAAGACGCCGTAGCTACCTGTTTCCTAATAAATTTGCGTAATTATCACGTTCTAACTAATTACTCGCATCAACGAGTCTACGCTCGTAACAAATGACATTTAACAAAGCTACCAACGACTGTGTAATTCGCCAGCTCGATCCACGCTCTGATTAAACGCCTACCTATATACCGTTCCCGAGGACGAATGTTTTTCGATTTTCGAACGGATTCCACCGAAAGTTTTTCCTGCAACAATGGTAGTCGAAAAATTTCGAAAAAATACTTCTCCATTGTGATACAAAATTCCGCTTCCTTTGTATTCTGTGCTTCAAATCGTTAATTGTAAGTAAGATACATCGAGTACCTTTCTTTTCCATGGATATCGCATTAACGTCTACGCTTGTACGCTATCCATCTTCCCCTAAGAAACATTAAGGGATGAAAAACACTCGAGTTCCTTAGGAAATTCTTGAAGATATTTAATGGCGTTATTTTTACGCGAAATCAAATTTATGCATCCATAATAATTATGATAAATAATATTCAGAATATTTATTATTTTTTGGCTGCTCTACTTACGCTATTATCTAATAGTTTAAGTACAACCATTGAATGTGTTTTGTATTTAATGCATGTACGTGCATGCCGTTACCACAATTCAGTTTTCCTCCTTAAAATGGTTCTCGTGGTGACCAAGATGCCAAGAGGTGATGGTAAGTCGCTCGATGAAAAGCCGCACGCGACCATCAGTATTCTGCATAAGGGAACATTAACGCGATAAGGGAGCACATTGTCGGGCGTTGAAACAAGCACGGTAATAACGTTGAAAAGCCAATCCCGGCGGATAGTTTGGTAACTGGCGGAGCCAGGACGAAGGTCGAACTTGAAGCTATGTAGTCGTGCGAAAGAGAACCGATAAGTTAGCAGGCTCGAGACGCCCGTGAAATATGCATCGAAGGAGCGGTTTGGAATAAACTCGTCCGACGATAAATTTCGAGGACACGGATGGTAGGAAAAAAAATTTATTGCCAAACGTCGCAATTTATCTGAAAGCGACTGAAAAACAAGAGTTTAATGTTTAATTATCGGAGACGGAGGGGAACATTTTAGGGCGAAATAAACTCAACCCTTGAACAAATTTGAAAGAAACATAAAGTAGCTAAAGGTAGAAAGAAAACGGATGTACGCATAGATTTTCTAAGGACAAAGGAGCAACAAGAAAATCAATTTATCCGGATCAAGAAAGCGGAAGAAAAGCCAAAGACATTAGGTTTGAACGAACCCAAAGACATCAGGTACATATTGAGTCTGGCACGATTTGATAACAGAAAAGTATCGTAAAATAACACTTCTGGTACATCGATTTAAAGCTTAATGCTTCACGAATATTACTACATAAACGCTTCGCTGATATTTTCAATATAAAATGACTGGTTATCAATAGTAGCAACGAGCTACCGCGTTCCAGCTATAAGAAAGCGATCGTTGGCGCGAGAATATGAAACAGACTAGAGGAAAACGCTTTGTACCGGACCTGGTTTCTTTTCCCCATGAAAAATTTGATCTCGACGAGTTATACGAGCGCTACATGCCTCGCGGGCCTTCGTACAAGCGAGGCTCCCGATGCGAATATTTGCGGAACGACGCACGAACGCGGCTGCTATGCAAAATAGGGGAAAAAAGGAGGTTAGTTATAAAGTCGGTCGAGTCCCTTACATAGACTGGCATCGAGATTACGTTGCTGGGAAAGCCGTTATTAAAGTCGGCTTTCAGCTTACGATTGATACCAGAGAAGCATCATTTATAATAGTATGTTAAGGGTCCAATGAGCAGATAATAATTAATTCTTCACTTATCGGTTCAATTATCTGTCACTGACCATTTTCATATCTGTGACTTTGTTTTCTAAATATAAACACTTGTAGGCTTTTGCAATTTAAAAATTATTGATATAGATGTTGTCGTAAACACGTTGAAAATAAATATTTTACTTTATCTACATACAATCGTTACAACGTCACTGATAACATTGTATCTAGGTCAAGGAGACAGAATTATTTATTTATTTATTTATTTATTCATTACTAAACGTGATTAACCCTCTGATACAAAGTTTAGCAGTGATAATCTTGAGTACATTTTCATGTTAGCACTTTGAAAAATGAGTTAGATTATCGTAGCTAACAATATGAAAGTACACGTGTCCATTGTTCTAGTTGTTCAACAAGCATACTAAATTTCGTCGCAATCGGAGTGGTTTGAGACCCTTGTGAGAGGACAGCTGACGTCTTACAGTCACAGAATCCTCGGAATCTCGGTTTACAGATGTAATATAATAATCTAAGAACCACTAGACCATGTCCATCGATATCTGGCTGACATAGCATCCTGTGTTTCAATAAGCTAAAATCAAGTGTTCTCGATGTCGAACTATGTCCTTTGATAAGCTGCAGCTGCCCCGTGTGGTCCTACACTTCACGTGTCCTAATAGCATCAAACAATAGTATACATTTCATGGAGGGAACATTGATCGATCGCGAGATATGTTAGCAACGCAAAAGCAAAATACTAAAATACCTTTTGCTTAGGGGAAAATTCGACACGTTGAAAGCGCGGCCGGATTAAAGGTTCCTTTTCGTGAAGAAAACGAGAGAGACCTGAGCAAAAAGCAAAGGATCCTTTCGAAACGGCGCGGATGTAGACCCCCAGTGAAATGGAATCTCCGTTGAAATCAGTTCCCCAATGTCTGTCTCGATTATTTTAACCATCCCCCCGTACGTTTCTTCCGTACCGTCGACCGTTCTCGCTTCGTCCTGGCTTTCGATTGATCATAATTATCCGTCTTTTGTCGTAATTACTCGCGATAAGATTTCGTTTTAATTAACTTAAGAGCAAGGCGTTTCGTTAAACGGATTTCTTTTCCACCCTTTCGTGTTCTAGTCCCCTTTTATCTGTAAATGAATTACAGATTCCATTCCTCCCGAAAGGATTCACTTTAGACCCCCCGAGTGTTTGCGCTGCAGTTATTTGCCGGACGAAATCGGAAGAAGTCCGAGACATCCGTATATAGCGGAACAAGAGAGGAAAAATCGTTGACGTGAAACGTTACTTTCGTCGATAAATAAACTTCGAGGAAAGTTCGGGATCGCAAAACATCTTTTTATACTTCACAATTTTGCTAACGTTTCTAAGAAAAGAAAGTATTTCTCGCGAACTCGGTCGCTATTTTTGAGCAGCATCCTTAAGGCGTAAACACTTTTGGTACTAAACAAAAGAGGAAACAAACTGGACTGCCCTGAATGCCTGGGGCATCTCATAGACGTAAACCTACATTAAACGTTCGAAAAAAGTGTAGCGAAGAATGAATGAAAAGGCCGAATGTAAATACCAATGGCAGTCTGCAGTGCCTTCGCAACTATTTGCAAACAGATAAGAAGAAAAGACCCCGTGGCCCGATTCGAAGGGCTCTCGATCGAACTTATCGTTCGCCAACGATCTCCGTTGCATCGTTGAATCGTGCTAACTTCACAGTGAACTCGAAACCCGTTCGACACGATAACGATTTCCTCCTGAGCGCAACCGGTGGTCCATTGACTTTTACATCGCCGCAATCGTTCGCGGATTCATCATACCATGACGAGTTCGATATTCGACGGAATGGACCACAGCAATGGATTAACATTATCACGACCTTGACTCGAAACTGTCAACACAGTAGATTCATCGGCATAGTGAGAGTGAATGAAAGCATGCTTTGATCCCATAAACCATCCTTTCAGGGACACCTTATATGCAAGAAAATCAGCCCAAGTTTTTCATTGATATTTAAATGAGTCCATTATACCCTGATAAATCTTGGTATTCTTTTCATACAGGATAATTCAGAAATATTGTACATTATGGAAGCTGTAGACGTGTCACGATAAAGCAAATGGAAAACTTTTATTGTTAAAGAACTCTTTTCTTCAAAAATAACGAACCCGAAGTCACGTTAATTAAGGTGGTTCGCGTAGAAAGGCACAAGATTTTCTTTCGTCTTTTAACAGAATCGCGTTGACGTTTCCTCGTTATTTACTGTCGCTGCTCGTTCACTTCATTATAGAAGGTGAAAAATAGGAAGAAATGTTGAAGCACTGCTTAGCATTATTATATCACGAGTGACGCCTGTCTTTTCTGTCCACGAAGACGAAGCGGTTAACCGGATTCCGTGAGGAGACGAAAGCAAGGTGTTGCTCGAATAGCGAATTCGAACGAAATATATGACAGAAATCCTGTTGCTGCTTTTACGTATTCTGCTCGCATTTGCAACGATCCATCTAAACTGCGCTAATTTTTTTCCTCTCCCGTAGGCTGCGCGTTTCCGTCGCCGGAAACAAGACGACTGACGTCCCGCGAAGGAACGTCCGGAACGTGAAACAAAATTCAGAACGAACTGTGACGGAATAAGTCTTTGAGTTCACGGAAACGTGCCTGAAAGCTGAGGAATATTTCAGGATTTCGCGAAAGGACTGTTGAAACTGTCAAACTTGCACAAGTACCCTTTGCGAAATAAAAGCATCCATCGTGATTTCTCTTCCATTTCCAGGAATATTTATCGCGATGTTTACCGATTCGTTTAGTCCAATCTTGCGACGTTGAAAAAGTACTAAGAGTTTACATGCTTTGGAATAAAAGCTTAAGTTGTATTCTTTCTTAACCCTCGAACGGCGCAGCGGACCATGGAGAGAGTCCCAATTTTAGTTTAATTTTGTATCTCATCTTTGTACATGTTTTAATTCCCTCAGGCTCTATTGTTCGAGGGTTAAAAATAAACAAAACATTTCTACACACCGAACACCGCCGAGGGAAAAATTGATCCATCACAGTGTACCTTCACTCGTGCAACAGGAAACAATCTATTCGCTGAGACGATTCCGTAGAAACTTTATCTATTCCAACACAATTCACCGCGTGTCGTAAAAATTTATAGTGCCGAGCAGTTGTTCCCTATGGAACAGGTTGCAACATTTCAAGCGAACCGCGCGAAACTTTGACCAGCACAAGTGCTTAACGAGATTCCGCATAATTTGCATGGGAGCGAAAAACTTGTAAAGATAAATGATCCTCGGAATGAGGAAAAAAACAATAGGGAAATATCTTAACGATCGTTCTTCATTCGGTGTTATGACGCTTTGAAATTCAAATTGTTTGCCTGTTAGAGTTTTTTTTCAAAGGAGACTTTATACAGTTACGAGATCGTGCGATGATTAATACCGAACACGCAACTTTCTTCTTACAACGAATCCTTTTCCCTTCCCGATGAGAAATCGATATTCATATTAGTCGTGAAAAATGAAAATGGTCCTCCATCGGTTTTCGCGCTTGTTAAAAAATCGTTTTGTGATGCAGGCGATCTGTTCGTGGTGGTGTTCAGTTTGGACTGTCGGGAATCCTTCGAAGAGGCCATCAGACTGCGGGAATCGATCCTGGAGACTAAAGTTAGCGCAACTCAGAGCGCCACGAAGAGCAGAAGCAAGAGTCACTTCAATTTGAAGGTTCCCATGGTCATCGTTGGGAATAAATGTGATAAGGATGTAAAGTACGTATCGATAAGTATCGTAAATGTATATGTAGGAATAATGGCAAGGATGCAATTCGTGTGTTTCACAGAACAGTTACGGTGGAAGAAGCGGAAGAATATTGCAATAGGCAGGATGACTGTTGCGTTTTCGTGGAGGCCTCCGCAAAGAGAAACTACCACGTGGAGGAGCTTTTTTACCAACTTTTCATAGTGGCGGGCTTACCTCTCGAAATGGCACCGAATCATCATAGAAAGGTCCCTCTCACTTTTGGTTCTCCCACCATGTTACCACCGTCACAGGTAAACTATTTTCTTAAGTGAAACTATTTGATAATCTACAAATTAGATTCTCGTATTTATTATACAAACGATGTCCAAGGACAAATATTTTGTAAACTCAAGGATCAGTAAGGGAGATCGGGGTTAAAATTCATTTCACGGTTCTTGGTCAAGAAATTCGTAGCATCGTCGAGAAAACGCTTTATAAATTACCGTCGTGGCGGGAAACAGAGCGAGAGAGAAACTGGGGAGATAGCGAACGTAAATAACCCTTGAAAATGTTGAAACGCGGTAATTGGACAATTCGTGAGCACGGCTCAGGAACGCGTTAAACCGTCGAAACGATCCGAATTTTCGCCACGGGAAAAACCGTGGAAACGTCTGAAAAGTGCGACAATTTGTTTCCAGCCAAGGCACAAAGCGACCCTTAGTATAAAGCGTCGGTTGAGTGACGCCTGCGGCGTCGTGGCGCCCAATGTCCGTCGACCCAGCATAAGAACGGACCTGATGATCATGAGGACGAAAACGTGTTCCCTGGCTGCGGGGAATGAGAACAATGCACCAGGATCGAGGATCACTCTGAGATCATCCGATGCCAGAAAGACGTGCTCGATTCAGTGATATAACCACCAGTTTTCTCTATAATCGTACTCGAAACGATGGGAACTCGGCTTCGATGACGATCTTCGCCCAGCGATTACGCGTCGGCTGCAAACACAAAAACATTGTGTTTTTATTGGTACGAAACAAAGGAAAAATGATATTTGTATTTGAATAAAAAGAACGCATGTATACGTACAGGGTGGTTCAGAATTGGTGGGAGAAACTTTGATGAATTATTAGAAATCAAATCTTGTTTCATTTTCTAAACAATAAAGTACAGAAAATGGACACTCTTTTTAGTTTAATAATACATCCAAATTTGTTGCATAATGTCTGAATCACTCTCTACGTAAACATCGCCTTTTCTGAAGCGGCTGAGGATCAACCACCATCAGGCACAAGAACGTGTTTTTCTTTGGTTTGAACAAAGGAGAAAGAAGAAATTTGTATTTAAATATAAAAAAATATATATATATAAATATCGCCTTTTCTATGCGGGATTTAATTATAAAGGAACGGCGAACTGTACAGTGATAATGAACGTTAAACGAAGAGGATCGTTAAAGGACAAGTATATATCGTGTTTTTGCGGAAGTGGCATAGGACGCGAGGGGTCGTAAGCGAGGATCGTCGCAAGAAAAAAAGAGAATGAAACATTTAAAAACCGACCACGCTGCTCGCCTTAATTAATTAAAGGAATAGCTGTAGCATCGCGTCACGGAAGTAACATATATTATTAAAGTAAGATGTAATCGGGGATCGGTTGTCAGATTAATTAACCGATGACGATCGAAGCGGAAGAGTTTGTCGTAATTATGATCGAAATAAGGGAATGACCCGTTTCCCTGATCATTTCCGGAGCTTTTGAGAATATTTTTCATAATAGCCGATCATTCATAATTTAAAGTTATACAGGATGGTTCTAAATTAAATCTAACTTCATCCAGATAAGTTGGTAATAAATGTGTTAATTTGAAACGTTCTGTACCTTGTTTTTCGTAATCAAAATTCAGCATTGAAAGAACTATTCAGATTTGATTGAACAATTTTGATTGACTGTTTATCGAGTTGGGTGTATTGTGATTATGATTGTTGAAATGGTCGGCTGATCGTGAAACTTGGATTCTATTTAAGCATGATTGTCAAACCAACGCGAACCAAATACCGTATACGTGTATATAGTTACTTTATTCGTATGAAATGAAATAACACCATTGATTCAACCATGTACACTCGCAATCAAATCAGGTTTCCCTACGGAAAATAGAAGAACCAGGAATTCTTTACATTTTAATTTTGACGATACTGATATTAATATTAAAAGTAATTTGAGAAAATTATATAATTTTTAATTATTATGTATTACAAAATTTAATATATAAAATAGAAATATGAATAATGAGCAGGGAAGTCTGACTTGATCGCGAGTGTACGAGCATTTGATGCGTTCGTTATTCGTGAAGTTTCGAATCACTTTGGGTATCGAATTTAAAACGTTTCAAGAATTATTCGTTTCTTCTATTCGTGCAAATTAGAGTATTGATTTGAAACTTTCCTAACATGCTAGAAAACTAAAATTAAAGTCACCCTGTTTCTTTCCATTATCCTATGTTTTTAGAATTCTCTCACGATACTGAAATTTTCAGAGCTGGATAAACTCGAAGCTTCTAATCACTAAGTTACAGTTCATTTATTTATTATTCATTTCACAATATGTGCTATTCAGAAGTAAATAATTATTGTAAAAATCAAAATACATAAAAGAGACACATCATTTCGTGAAACTCACCCCTAGTTTTCGGACCAAAGAACCATTTCGTTTTCTTGTAATAAACGCATAAATGATACCAAAAATAACGTGTGTAAATTTTTCTTGAAACAGTCTGTATAAAGAGAACTTCTTTCATTATCGAATGAAAGTTAGTATCATCGGGTTTTCCATTTGGTTAAAATAAAATTAACACTTCTTTTCTCTCGCTCGACAATTGGAATACTAATGACGAGAAGAAAATTCTTGAAAATTGGAGTATTCGTTGAACAAGTTCAACGAGGTATAACACAGGACACAAGTAATTACTGGTCAAGTACCAGCGAACGTGGCGAGAATTTAAAACGTCCGTGAAATTCGCACCACCGCATTATATTTACGCGGTTGTAGAGAATAGCGAGTCATTTTCAAGCCAACGCCCCCGACAATGTAATGAAAAGACATTTTTACAAAACTCCCAGTAGATTAATTAACCCTCGCCGCTGGCAGAGATGAAAGGAACTCGCCTGTAGGTTTCCCGAGAGTCCTAGGGTGAGGTCAATTACTCGATTAATACGTTAATTAATTTCCTGCCTGCTATGCTTCCGTTCTACCCCCTTATCTACCTTCCTTCTCTTTTTTTAGACAAATTACGGATAGTTCAATTGCGAATGCTAAAATATCCGTTTCTAATTAAAGGCTAAAAGGTCACATGCTTACCGGAAATTTTCTCAACTATTCAGCGCAAGATTCGAGAGCATTGTTCAAAAGGTAGACTTAATACGTTAGTGGAAATAATTACAAAATTTCAGGGATTTTAATTGTCTGTAATATAATTATCTTCCCTCACAAATTACTCTCGAAGCATAATTAAACCCGGCTGTATTTCTGGAATGGTGCTTCCATCTTTCTAGACTATTACTATTGATTGTAACTAAATGCTTCAGAGAGAAACGCATTATCCTCGTTCATTTTATCTCACCTTATTCTCTATCCGCAATACTTACATCACGGGTCTTTTCAGGTCTAATTGATAACGGAATCGAATCCCATCGATGGTCTGCTGTCTTGTACACTTGAGCTGCCATTTATCGTTTCTCTCGCGATATTTCTCGGAGAACAGCGATTGTTCCGATTCACCCTGACAGGAAATCACTCGACGAAATTACGATTGAAATTTATTTAAATCGAATCTACAGAACGTCCCTTCTGTCGAGGGTTTCTTCGATGCTGCAATAAAACGACTTGCAGCTGGTACAACCCGATCTTCATATCGAAATTAGATTCGATTCGAGCAATTAGAAGAATCGTGCATAGAATGAAATGACACCATCGGCAAACGGTAGATGACGAAGTCGATTTAATAGACTTAATCGACGCCAACTTCCGGGAAAGAAAGGTTCGTCGCGTCTTTACCGCGACACGGCTTAATGCATTCAAAGCGATGCTCGTTAATTGACCTTTCTGCCATTAAGAATTCACGAGGACCTCTCGTAATTGAGAGAAAGTTTAAGCAGCGCCTTAAAGTTTCAGGAGAACAAAACAAGCTTATAAACTAAATACATGTATGTATGAAAATATACATGCTGTTCCATGTAACTTGGCCAAGTTGTATCTCTAAAATGATAGAATGAAATGTCATCAGGAAAAATTAAATGATGTTGAATGGAGCATCGTATCATTTTTATTTTTTTTTTAAATAAATTTCTGTACTTTGCTATACATCAATCGAAGCGTATTTTAATTCTCTATATAAAAGTATTAAGTACTTGGGTCGAAAATTGAATAATTAGAAAGATATTTTAGGGAAAGACGGGGAGAAACCGCACGTCTCTCCCTAAAATAACTTTTGTATTAATGAATTTTCGACCTAAGTGCCTTAATACTTTTTTGTAGGGAATAAAAATACGCTTCGATTGACATATAGGAAAGCACAAAATTCCATTTTAAAAAGTGATAATGATTTTTTTTTCTTTCTTATCATTTTAAAAATATAACTTAGCCAATTACATGGGACACCCTGTATCGGAGAGTTCGTTTAGAAATAGAGTCTATGAAAAAAAAGGATCATCTAACCATTTTCTCATTTCAGAAATCTTCTCTAACACCTCCTTACCTGGAAGTCCTTCGTACAGTTCTAACGGTAGTTCACTTAGGTATTTACTGGGCGAATCCTCTAAGGACGTCTTATCTAACAAAGATCTCTAACATTTCAGCAGGAAGTCATCAAGGAATTTAAGCTTCTTCGACGTGACTTCGGCAAGATTACTAAAGGTTCCAAATGAAGAAAGAACTATCATACATAAGAAATTCTAATTTTCAATGACAAAAAGCATTTGAAGAGTCGCGGCGACCAGACTAAAGGGCCAAGTATCGAGGTTCGAGAAGGCAGAACTCATTAGAAGGAGTTTCAGTAAAGAGGATGAGGTGACCACAAAATTCCAGAACCGCGGAATGTTTAATTAAACCCTGTCAAGAACTTTGAGAATTTCGGACGAGTCGTCACAAAGCTCGTACATCATGTGAGTGTCTCCTTCATCGTCGGAAGCGTAATATCGAGGATATACAAAAGCTCTTTACACAAATCCACCTTATAATTCATTCTGATTTTTCTGTTTTAATCAAAGCAACGGTCACCAAAGCAACTATGGCTCTCCAAAGATTTTCATCTGGCCTCCGACTTTTATTTATTACTATTTTATATAAGAAATATTAATTTTATAAAATTGTATGATTTGGTTGTGAATACACGACAACGATTCTTCTATTGTTCTATTGTGATTTGGTATAAGACATACATTTTAATAGATATTTTCCATTATAAATGCCAATATAAACTATATTTGTTTACACATGCAATATAAATTAATGCTTTAATAAAATTTTAATAAGAATATTTTTCATCCGACCCCAATGTTTTTAAACATTCCAATCCGGCCTGTTTCTCAAAAAGATTGGATTGACCCCTGAATTAAAGGAACCGAGTCACCTCTGAATAGAACGCGCTACTTATTGTTCCTCGCAATCTCGATGCTCGTACATTCACCTCGTATTTTTATTTATTAGCCAGCATGATTCATCATAGAATAGACGTTTATAAATTAACGAGATCGAGGAATTGAACTTTATTATTCGCGATTTGCGTGCAGAACGCAATCCCTCGACGATGGTAATGAATTCACATTGTACCGTATAATATTCCTAGCATTATCCCACGTTTGTTATGAATTGCAAAATACAGTGGTTTATATAAAGATGTTTCTTGAATTATTAGAGATTCGAAAAAAAATGGATGAGAAGATGAAAATCACTTTATATGCGATCGTTGGGTGAAGACTCAGGGGGTTCGACACGGTGAAACAGAAATGGAGAATTTCGTTTTAACGGATGGTAATTCGAGATCAGTCCGTTGCTCTAACGAACCCTTGCCCTGAGAATTCCCAGCAGTGATATAAAATAGGAGATATCTTGTACGTACAACGCCGACGATAACCGCGAACGAGCTGCGAAATATCGCCTGATGAACGTTCGCCGGATGAAAATTCTCCGCTTCTGTACAGACCGGTAACGCGCCGGGAAGCGGGTGAATTATCGTTTTGTTGCCGCGTTTTGGGAACAAGACACGGATTCCTCGGGAGCAATTTATTATTTTGGGTTCGTAACAACCAAAATCTTTGTTTAGCGGTCCTGCTGATCGCTAATATTAAGGCATCGTTTGTCAAGACCCCGTATGTTTTGCTGAATAAAATTTACATTTCTATTTTTAAATCGGCATAACAATAGCCCCATATTTTAAAAATACAATGGAATATTTTATTTTAATTTGAATACGATAAACATCGACGATTTTACAAGTTTATCAGGCAATAATATGTACGTCTTAGCATATTTATGAAATGAGTTGTAAATTTCCTAATGAATTTTAAACGATGTAAATTACGCATAATACCTTTTTATCATATTCTTATCTCTTCACTTTTCTCATTTATGAAACTGATTAGATTACATTTTATCGACAGTTTTTATTGATTCGGTTTCATAAAAGTTTACAACCTACAACTGAAAAAAGAATAAGATATTTGTGTTTTTTTTTCTTAATCAATTTTAGCTTATAAATTGTCAATTACAAATCGTAAATTCAAACGGAATGCTCTCAGGTATAAAATTTGTAGAGGCGCATGCTCGCGATGCGCACGTGGAGCTACACTATCGACCTCTCGAGTGATCGATGTAACCGCAAACTTACAAAACCGCGCAAGCGTATTATCCGTTGGGCGCTCCGCCATGATAGAGGTAATTTTATCGGGCGCGTCTCGAGCACGATGAATCGACCTAAAATTTTCTCTCGAACTTAGTTCAGGAGCCACGAGTCGCGTCGCGTCATTCGTCGGGCTCGTGATCAAAAATACTCGGCTGCGAGCGGTAAAAGAAGGATGTAGAACGAAACGATCGCGCGCGAAGGCCATTCTGGCGTAACGGAGTTAAACAGTCAGCACATGGGTTTCACTTTTACGAGTGACTGTCTTTAATCTTTCCTCGTCAGTGACAGAGTGTCGCTCGTCGAATTAAGACGTAGTCGGTCGACGAGGTACTCGTACGTAGCGCGGGGTTTTACAACAGTAAGTAACATCCGTAATTCCTTGTAGCTACTATTTCGAAACTTGCTCAATTAACACAATTCTTCCAGTAGTTCAATTACCTTTGAGTTACATTTATCGACAGTGAAGTGTATTTAGTTCAATTTCAATGATTTTAAAAAATAAATTTCAAAAATATATATCGATCATTTCAATACATCGATATTGCTGGGTCGGAGTTTGAATTTGAAGTCGTTTATCTTGTATACGTAACGTATGATTACGATAATTGTGTTGCAATGAAATCATTCCAAAAACAAAGATTTATAAACACATATACGTGTTTATAGGACCAGTTATCAGTAATGTGATCCAAGTAATGCGACTTGAACGAATAGTATTGCGAAATAATTCTTAAGTTTCGAATACTAATTTCCCGGACAAAATGGGCGGCGGAGCACAGAACACAGGTATCTTTACCTACGAAACCCTGGTGCACGCGATATCCGGAGCTGCCGTAAGTAATCACAGCTCGCAGAAACCTTAAAAAATCAAATTAAATCATCACTGATCATTCGCGAATTAGTTTTCATCCATTATATCTATCTCACAGGGTAGCGTCGTTGCTATGGCAACGTTCTTTCCTTTGGATACAGTGCGAAGTCGATTACAACGTGAGTAAACATTCAATAAAAATGAAGAATGCATTGTATACATATACATATGTATGTGTATCGATCTGTTTCAATTGAATAGTAATCAATCGTCACGTTTAGGATGACGGATTAGAATACATACAAGCGTGTATGAACAAAAAATTAGATTAACTTTCACGCCATCGTGTGATAAAATGTATTACGTAGGCGCGCGCACACATGTTTTTTTTTTTTTTTTTTAAATCAATGTTAGTAAAATATACATTAACTTTCTATTGCATGAATTTTTATGACGAGTTGAAAAAAATATATACGGCTGTTAGTCTACTTAAAAATGAATGTGGCCATGAAATAAATAATAAAGTTTTATTAGAAAATTGCGCAATATTCCCACTTGGGACCAACTCAGAGTCTTCAGTACTGTCTACTTAATTTACTATAGAACATTTGAAATTTCAGTTCCCAATTGAGAACGGAATATAATAGAGAGTTAATGCAAATTAAATTTTACAAATATACTTATACACTTTTCAAGAATTTAAGGACGTTTAATAAATATTTACATGGTTACTTTTTTTTTTCTTAACTTTATGATCAATAATCTTTTTTTTTCCTATTTAGTGGAAGAAGATCGTGAATCGAAAAGTACACTTGCAACAATCCGTGAGTTGGTCGATAAGGAAGGAGTGTATGTTTTATTTTCTAAATGAATTCTTGTTAGAAAATGATGGAAGAATTTAGTACACACTCTTGTCTTTCCTTTAGATGTACTTTGTACAGAGGAATGGTGCCTGTTCTTCAAAGTCTATGTGCCAGTAACTTCGTTTACTTTTACACATTCCACGGTTTGAAGATGCTCAGAGCTAGGAGAAATCAAACAGCAGGTAATGATTTGCTGTTTGCATCGATCGCAGGTAATTAAGCGGTACATTTTTTTGCTATGCAAATTGTTTAATAATTAAACGAATTATCAGGATTTAATGTGAATTTTTTAGGTATAATTAATGTTCTATCGACGACACCGTTATGGGTTGTAAATACAAGGTTGAAAATGAGAGGTGTCGGACAGGTTCAAGAAAGAAATAATAACGAATATAACACATTATACGGTACGTCTCAAAGTCTAAAGTATGAAATTACAATGTGATATAACAGGAATGAATAAATGTTTTATTAGAAGCCCGCTTATCACTAATTGTTCAAATTTATTCTGCACACAGATCAAACAATAAGCAGTATTGATGTTCATTAATTCGATTCTAATGTCACCAGTCAATATTGTATTTAATGGATGAATCTTTGAAAATTCAAACGAGTGTTTTCCTTTCAGATGGTCTTATGCATATATGGAAATACGAGGGGCTCAGTAAACTTTGGTCGGGAACATTACCAAGTCTGATGTTAGTCACAAATCCAGCTATTCAATTTATGACATACGAGACTCTTAAAAGGAAAGTTACCGCCTCTTTACGTAATTCACAACCGCCTGCATGGATATTCTTTGCTATCGGTGCTGTAGCGAAGGCGATTTCGACTGCGCTCACTTATCCGATACAGTTAGTCCAAACAAAATTAAGAGTACGTAAATAGATAAACTGATTGGGCTGATTTTTTAAGGCTATTCCAATGATATGATTTAAACGTTGTTTATTTATTTTCAGCATGGTTATAAGTATCCTAATCTACCCCCAGACGCTGGTACCTTGGAAATTATATTTTATATATTAAAGTAAGCATGATCTTGATCTTTTATGATATATTTAGAATGCTATAGGATACAATAGAAATTTGTTTCCATAGGAAACAAGGAATAGGGGCATTGTACAAGGGAATGGAAGCGAAACTATTACAAACTATTCTAACAGCGGCGTTGATGTTTCTGGCGTACGAGAAAATTTCAAGATTCGTTTTTCGCATTTTGTTACATAGACCAATATTAAGATAGAAACCTCTTACGCATTGAACAGTATTATTCAACAAAGTGCTATTTATTGTGATAGAATAATACATAAAGATGTGAAATTTATATCGCGACCGAGTATTTTATTTAATGTAATATACCTTGCAGATGTGAATAAATGAAAAGGGTGGGAATTAAATTAAATTATTCATAATTTGCGTCCTCTCGAATTGTTGACAAATTAGCGTTGAAGTATCTCGCGAATCTCATTTGTTTAACCAAAAGCGTCAAACTGCAGAGGAGACAAATATGTTTCGCGTATAGTTGGAAAATGTGAACCAAAGCATCGGGAATACTGGCGAATCTCAAGAAAACGCGCCTCCGGTTTCAGTCTCAGTACAACCTCAAGTCCAACGACGCCGCATCGCCTGTTCCGCAGCTGCGAAAAGTGAACTCAACATGGAACGATAAGCCAACCGAACGCGTAAACTCCGTCGATCGGAACAATTTCGCTTCGAAGAAGATCGAGCACAAGTCCACGAAGGCGATCTTGAAGTTTTGGAAGAAACTGAAACCTCGCAGAAACTCGAAGAAACAACTGGAACCTGTCTCAACCGAGTCACTGATACCCGTGTAAGTTTCTATGTTGTTAAAAAAAAAATAATTCTCGATATTAATTACTTGTAATTATAGTGCTAAAGAAACTTTTCTCAGAGGGAATGTTAGTCATGTCGAAGAAAGGATGAGCGCAAGATCTCAACGAGGTGTCCACGAGACGACGATCAAACGATTCCCAACTCCGCGAGTGAATCAGCCAAATCGTGCGCCAAAGCCAGCGATAACTTACGATTATGACGCTGCGGTTAGTCAGCCGGACGTACCGGATTTCCTCAATTTTAAGAAGGCTGGCCGTGGCGTGATGGTTAGTGGAGTTCCGCTTAAAAAGAGAGCCCTAAAGACTCGCCTAAGATGCCGAATTATGTCAAGGAAGAATTTTCAGAAAAGATCTCAGACATTCAGGCCGAGGTCGGTTGTCCAAAGGCACGCAAAGGTTCCTGACCGCAGGTATACGAAAAAACCGATTGCCTCTTCTGACGTTTCCGAAGAAGAAACAGATGTTCTTGAGAAAGAGAATGTTACCGATAACGGTACAAACATTGACGATTCGTCGGTTTACCGGAAGGTGTGTTCCTCCGACTTATCTTCAAATTTCATTGACATTTCATTTTTATTTCGCTTCGAACTCTATCGCAAATGATTCTTCTACACTGTGAAGATAACAAACGGAATACTCTTTGCGCAGAAAGATGCGAAAAATGTTTACAAGGACGGAAATGAGACGATCGAGAGCATCGGTGATAACCAAATCACGGGAAGGAAAGAAAAACACGAGAGACCAGACGATTGCGATAGTGTCACAGCAAAGTCGCCGGTTCTTCAAGGCAAGAGCAGCAAAATTCCACGCGCTAAGACCACGGCTTTCCCGGTTCAAGAACTTCACTCGGTACTTAAAATGATAATAATTAAAACTGCGGTTAGAAATGAAAGTATAATTAACCGTTTACGCAGCAGACAAAGAAGACAGGTAACAAAGTGAAGAATTCGACGTGCTTGAATTGTACATCGATCAATTGTGCTCCCAAGTGAGTTAAAGGAAATTCATTAATCCCACAGCAAAATCATTAATGTTATAATTATTATAGTGTTGAAGTATTAGAAAGAGAGGTAGAAAGGATAGCTAACAAAATTCAAGGAAGAAGCTGCGAACAAGACGTGGTTCGCTTCGAAGAATTTCAAAATGTTGCAAAGTTAGTACTCGTTATAAGGATAGCACATGAACTGAAGAAAAAATTAATTTATTTTAAGGGTGCGCTCACTTCTGATTTATTTAAAAGGCTTTTCTGCTACCCAGGATGTGGAACAAAGAAGAAAGTTCGGCAAGAAAAGGGGAAGAAGAAACTGAAGACGATCGTGGATTGACCTCGACGGATGATTCTCCAGCTATTAGCAAGATCAATGATCGACGCGTTGCGACGATCTTACGATCTCTGAAATTAAATTGTCCATGTAAATCGTGCAGTAATCACGAACCTCTTTCGAGCAGTCGACAAGAGGACGACAGTGACTTGAAGAGTACATCCCCGAACGAAAGCAGAAAGAAAAGATGGTTGGAACGAGCTTAACTTGAAATGTTTCTCGTTATTTGATTTTCATTGAATAATTTTACGATAGGCCATTGAAACACCGGAAGTATCTTGATACGAGTACGGAAGACGTGGACGCCTCCTCCGATGACAACGAAGAAAACGATAAAAAGAAGAAAAGGAATCGATTGAAAGCGAAGGTTCCTTTGATGCAGCAGGTTAAAACTAGCTCGATAATAAACACATCACCGAAAATTTCTACTCGACGAACGAGTTTCTCCTTTTTAAACACCCTTTTTGATATCGTCTTTTGGCCTTATTTGTTTTTGAAAACAAATCGTTGAAAAAATTCAGTTCGACGTTTTATAACTTGTTATTTCCTTTTACTGGAAATTATACCATATATTCTTAGAACACATGTACATATACGTATTGAAGAAAATATATTTATAATTATACATAGTAAAAATATAAAACATCAGAATATGAAACCGATCAAGCAACTATTTACAAAAAAATATTACATTTTTCAGTGACAAATCTTTTTTACAAAAAAAAATAATAATTAAATTTGAAAATGTACATGATTTCACAAATGATTCCTCCACATTTTTACAACACACCGACCCCTGAAAATATACAAAATTAATTGAAATATCATTTTTAATAAATCTCCTCAGTCTTTTCAAAAACTCACCCTTTTTCATGGGTGTTGACATGCTTCTATGGAGTTTCTTTGAAAAGAATGACAAAGTTAATTTGTCATAAAGATTATCGATCTCGCTGACAGTATTTTCCAATATTCTCGTAAGTGCTTTCTCGTTCTGTATCAATGCCTTATCGGCGATCAAAGACAGATGCAAATAGCCTCGATAAGTTAACAATGAAAATCCAATTCCTGTAAAGCTCCTAAAAATGATATCATATCAGAGAGATACAAAAATATTGCAGAAAATTAAAGAATTACCTATTCGGTATCCAGAAGACGATATTCTTTAAAGAATGCCCTAAAAGCTTCACTTCCCGTGGACCAACTAAATTGCTAAACACCATAGTACTGTGGCTCTTCAGGATCGGTCGCAAAAATTTATCTGGCAATAAAGCAGAAAGGTACTTCATCACCAAAAAATTGACCGTATAATCGAGACTGTTTCTCAGCTCGTCGTTCGCCTTTTTAATATCCTCCAGACGTTCCAGGATCTGAGAATTTTCAGCCGGATCCGGAAGCTGTTCGCCATTTATCTGTGAAACGCAGAGAGGCAACACACCGACCGAGAAATTATTTTGCAGCGGAAGATTTTCGTTCCACTCTTCTATCTTCATCGGAAGAACGACGCTTATTTTACTCGGTATCGGTTCGTTCATCTATGTAATTCAAGATTAATTAACAAAAAACATTTTGCGAAATTCATAATCACTTACACGAAGAAAGTATTTGTGTAAGCTGACGGATAAAGCTGCCAGTATCACGTCTCCAAATCTGGCACCTGTGATAATTTTGATGTTCTGAATCTTCGTGAACAATTTCTGATCGATGGTGTTCTTGAAATCGTCTTCCAGCCAGTAGGAGACCAATTTTTCACCCGACAATTGTGCTCCATGAAGCGCGCTAAGATCAAAATGGTGGTAAATATAAAATAGAAATAGAAACGACGAGGAAGAATGAACAAACCTCTTGTCCATGCTGCGGAAAGCTTGTTGAATCAAACAAGCAGGAGCATCAATAATGATCCTTGTCATTCTTAAACATTTCTTCACCTTCTTGCAAACAATCTTCAGGAAAAGAACTCTCAAATTATCAACATGTTTTTTCACGAATGCCTTCGTTTCTCGTTTCAAATCCTCTACAGTGATGTTTTGAAAACGTTTTACTGCAACGTCCATTCGTCCCCTCGAAGATTTAACAAACTGCCAGGCTACTCCGAAATGAATGAACGGCATAGATGCGGAGACGATATCTTTCTGAAAGGAACACTGCAAACTTTTGTCTCCGTTCAAGTAGGCTTTCAAAGGAATCGTTGTTATATTAGGCTTCTTCGTTTCATCGCTCATTGGCATGAAACTGGCGCTCTCTAATTGCAAATAGGTTTCTTGAATCGGTTCTTTGTCGATGATGGCTTCCCGGAACAACTTCAACAAAGACATTCCATCGCCCAGGGAGTGATGGACCCGGAATAATACGGGAATTTTGATCTTGCTCGTTATACGTTCCTCCATTCGTCGGAGATAATGGTAACTGGACCTGGGACAACATTTACCGATCAAGATCTCCCATGAAGCAGTATGGTTCTCTGGTAGAGGTTGATTGCAAACATTCCACAGAACTCTTTTCAGATGGCCGCTGTAAATATTATCGCAGGATCCATCGCAGCTCGTCCGTTCATATTCCAACCATCTGACTCGTTTCTTCAGATCGATTTCATCGCACCTCTCCCAATAGTAATAACCGTATTTCTGTTTTCTTCTGCAGAACAGCTTCTCCAAAGGGGAGCTCAGTATGCGAGTCTTAGCCATCTGTCGAAAGCTTTCCAGGAATTTTATATTCGAATGTCGAGCATCTTTCTCTATGATTAGAAGTATGTTGTTCACAGAAAGAGCTGATGGTTCCTCTATGGCCCAAACGCAGTCAGTTCCATTGAGGAAACCCGCGAATTTCTCCTTCAATTGTATCCTTAAAATGACATTAACTATGCGACGGTACAAGTACGAACACGCTAACACTAAAACGATTAACGGAGAAAAAAGAATCGTGTAAAATGTGAGAAGTACTTGATATATTTTCGACATGTTTAATTAATTTTACACCGCTTGAATGATTAGAAGAAAGTTACTCTGATCGCTCGACTCCTATCTTCGTTGTGTCTTCAATCGTACGGAATTGTTGCACCTGCAAAGAGTAGACGTTTATTTTATCTTAGAGTTGTATGAATTAAGTATTATTAGTGATGGGATCAAGTTCAGTAATAACACAACCGTAAAGGGTGTGGTCTGTATGAAAAAAGTAATTTGAAAATGTAGAGTGACATTTTCTCACATTTATATTTAAAAATTTCGATATACACGTGGCGTCATCTACTATTTGAAGGTAAAAAAGAGCTTTCTGATTCTGCCGATAGGATGCGCAAAAATTATGCAGACGTTTAGTTCTCCTCGTCAACGCCAGAGGCGCCACTCTTTTTAACACCAAACCGTAGATGACGCCACTCGTCCTCCCTCTAAAGCGGCGGTGTTTTTAACATATAGAAATTTCAATGAGCTTTCAACATTGATTTATTTGGAACGAAGCCTTCCTGCTGCGGCAAAATGTCACTCTTCATTCTCAATTTACTCTTTTACTTAAATTCACTTTCTTTTATCAACTTGGAAACACCCTGTGTATCTTTATAATTATGAATTAAATTAAGTCAATGCAGTCGACTTACATGATTCTTTGGTAGCAGTCGGACACATCCCTGGCTTCGCCTCAGTGCTGTTCAGCACCAAGTAAGACGACTTTCAGCAGAGTTGCGGCTTTTATACTGAAGCACTTGGCATCGATCCATGCCAATCCAATTTAACTTGACTCTTTTATCCGGTTATTAACTTTAGTTGTATAATTACGATATCCTTAAACAACGCCTGTACTTTCGATGACATGACCCCTTAGGTCGCTAAACATCGCTAAACATCTGCAATCGTATGGCTTTGCGAATGTTTTGCTTGTTAATGTTTAGAGTAACGCTTCGATGGAACTCACGAAAACTGTAAGGGTGGTTCAAGTGGTTTTTTCAAATGAGATGACACTGCTACTTCCGCTGACTTGATATCCACGCTTTGCTTCCTGCAGAAGAACTCTAAGTAGAGAATTCTCGTAAGCCAAACGATCGCTGCGTCGTCTTTCTCGAGCCAACAATGCATCTTTACTGGGCATTAAAGACATTTCAGCACTTTTACTTCCAGTTACACTGTTCTTGTTTTTCAGTGCATCCTAAAGATTATTATCTTGTTTACAGATGCTACCACCTAAAGTACTTCAATATTTCAACCTGCAGGGTTTCAATAGAGCCTCGTAGCAGGATTTCTTGCTCATCCTTTCGCTTCTTCAGGTTCAAGTACTTTTTACAAATGTTTTCTACGGCCTCGTTACGCTCGACGAGTCTGTCACCAAGAGTCAATAGCTTCTGTTGAAGATTATCAATCTGGAATTAGTAGATTTTGAAGAAACATTGAAGGCACAATAGATATATCAAATATACCTCCAGTGCCTTTTCTTTAATTACAGCATTCTTGGTAATTACTTCTTCTTTTAATTGTTCATTTTGTTTTAACAATGTGTCGTACCTAACAAGCAACTTATTTATAGAATTTTTCTTTTTGAATCGGTTATTGATTAATTTTTAACTCGAACCATACTTTTGGTGCCAATTTCTTTGTACCTCCCTCTTTAATGATTCTGGTAAGGCAGTTTGACTTCCAAGACGGATATCCGTGACGCTCTGCCTGAATAAATCTACAGATTGCGTTCTGATAAATATAAAATTCTATTTTTGTTTATATTTTGAATACTGACACGTACTTAACATATTTTTATTATGGTCATTCGCTTTCTTTAAATCATCCATCGCTACTTTGTTCTTTGTCTTCAGGTTCGAGTACAGAAGCCATCGTTCCGCCTCCAAACTTCGTGAAACCATTAAACTTTCCTCTAAAGAACTTACGGTATCGCGAATATCATTTATCTTCATAACGTATTCTTCCGTTGCGATAGAAATTTTTCGCGTGCAAGAATTTTCCACGCTCGTTTGATACATTTTGAATTAATTGAGCAACGTTAAGGAAAACGTGAAATATGAAGTATGAATAATCGCTGTTCGATTTACATTCTTCTTTTTTTTATTAAATTATGTGTATAATATAAATAAATACAAATTGGTGATTGTTAAACATCACAGGACTTATACACTGATACGTACAACGTGCTCAGCACGTTAATTATTACAGATTTAAGCAACATTATAAGTCGCATTTCAAAAATGAACAACACAAACCAAGAGAAATGGTTTAACATTTGTACAAGTCATAATAGTACTTGCGACAATGATTATGTAAAAAAATGTGAAAACGTTGAAAAGGGACGTTTATTTAGTCATAGGACAGGGCTCGGACGCATATTTCTTAAAACCTACGTGAGCGCGTCTCAAATGATCCCGAGAACGATCCCTGGTATCCACCAAAACGCCAAGTAAAGCTGTTCTCGAGTCACTATTTAAAGCCTCGTTGAAACGTTCCAGAAGGGCCATATCTATCTGAGGCACCCCATCCAAGTCTTCCGCCATTTCCTTGACTCGTGTGACATTTTCAATTAACGACTCCAAGGAGGATTCCTTTTTCGAGTGCCTGTAAATTGGTTGAATTTGAACTGTTTACTTTAGTTATTTTACCAGTTGAGTCAACGGTGATTACTCACGAACAACTTTTTTCTTGGTCGATAAAGTCGCAGCAAGTTTCGTACAGCTCTAAACACTCAAGATTATCCCTGAGGTCTCGTTGCACCAAATACTTCTTAAAAATTTCTCTTCCTTGTGGATGCGCCAATGTCTTATTTATATTATCCGTGATCTGGTCTAATTCTTCAGGATTCAGGCCGGAAGTGCACTTTCCGATGCAACCGATTGCTTGTTTCGATAAAGAGGTCTGCATACTTCATTCCGCCTGTGGAGAACACGCAGCTTTGTATAAAAAATGATTTTGAAATACTGTAAACGAAGTAAAATTATGGGTTTATGTATATTCTTAGTTATTATCGCAACAGAGGTTTAATCTATGTAGTATTATCTAACCCAACGTCAAACGAAGTTATCGTATGTACATAAGGAGTTCCCACAAATCAGAAAGGAAACGGTAAACAATGGGCATTACTATGTAGCTAATATTTTCGATGAGTAAATTCCTCCAAAGAAATAATTAACAAAATGTCTCTTTAATAAATAAGAAAATCATAAATATATTTGCGGTTCATTCCGTTCATTAGCGATGTTAGTCGAAGATAATTGGCCTCCAAATCAAAATCCCGACTATCTTATTTATTAGGATACCTGATGGATATTTGGGTAACAGGATGGTTTATGTCTACACAGGTATCTCATAGGTATCCAGGCAACCGGATATCTCAAATCCACAGCTCTAATTCGAATACTTCAATTATTAACATTTAGACATCAAGCAGTAAGAGCTGTAAATTTGGTTATCGGTTCAATTCTCGCTTGTCAACGCACGTGACATTTGAACTATGTATATTCGTATGCCCAATCAAGACATATTGCTCAGAGGACCGAAACAATGAGTTATTGATCGCAACTTTTGTGAAACCGGATTCACAGTGACTGACTACCTTAATCGAACGGACTGAGGCTCGTCTCGTGCGAACAAGCAACGTACACCTTCTTGGAAAGGAGTTAGCCACACACTCTTTATAACCACAATGTTCGATTCTTTTTTATTTCGGCACTTGTCGGTTGATCATTCATGCGCAATCCAAAATGATAGTTAACCCCTGAAAGTAACCATGAGTAAATAATTCAGAATGAAATTGAAACATTATCTAATATCATAGAATTCCAAATATAATATTTCACCGTGTAATTAAAGTAATACACACGTTCAAATAATGATTGTCAAGTAGTTATTTGTGAACAAAACAGAAAACCTACCCCCACAAGTTTACTCATGCAATGTTACGCACAGACTGACGCGTTCCTCCGCGCGCCGAAAATATATTCAGCGAAGATGGGTATATACGTACGCGCTCCAATAAAAATGTACTTTATATCTAAAGTATGACAAAAATAGCACATGCTCCTTTACGAACTTTTCTGATTCTTTTTGAAATATTGTACTTATTCGTGTATTCAATTCTTTTAACGTTGCAATTTATAAAAAATTCCTCGTTGCAGCTGTTTAGTTGAATATCAAGCATGCTTAAACTGGTGTTTGTTATTCAAAACACCGTTTCTGAAACAAGCACACGTTATTTCGGATGCGAAACGCATACCCGATGAGAAAAGAGAAAAGACCATGCAGTACAAGATGGTAATATGCAAAACGACTAAGAAACTGCAGAAAACATTTTAGCAATTTTATTACAGTACTTAATTAATGACTTTGTTGAAATATATACATACATATATCATTTGGAAGTATATGACAATGTGCGATTTTTATTTATTAAGTGCATTACCGTTTTAAAACTGCCGCAAAAAATTAGGCGGGAACATATAATAAACATGATACAAACTCACAAGAATTGAGTATAAAGAACGTTAGATGAATATTAAAATATTTGGTAATTGTGAATGTTTAAAATTAAATATTAAGAATGGATTCTGAATTTCCGGACCCTGATGAAGAATTTGATTTAGTCCACGAGGATGAATATGAGCTTTTAAAAGAGATAGAAGGTATACAAGCCTTAACCTTAACATCTTTGTATAATGACAATACCATGTAATAATAATTGATATGTTTCAGAGCTTGAAGAAAAGAAACTAGCAGAATCTAAAAGAAATAAAGCTGTACAAGAAAAATCTTTGCAGAAAAATGAATCAAATACTTCCATAACTAATGTGTCCAAAGAATTAAATACTCCAATACCTAATAATACGCAAAGAAATTTGTGTACACCTAGTACCAGTAAAATTATTGAATGCAATAGTAATGCTGAAATTGACAATACAAAAAAACGGGGTTATGATGAAATTTTTGGTGACATTTCAGATATATTAGAAACAAATGAGTTTGGTACGTATTTCATATAAATATAAATGTTTTCATCTCATAAATAACTTTGATAATTATAATTTGCAGGTGGCTTTGAAGAACCAAAAGAAAAGAAACCACGATGGGATGAACCTCAGGATATAATTAAAGCAGTATTAGATGCTAGAGAAAAATTTCATGAATTTAGTAGAGGAGTTTCTGGGAAAAAAAATCATATTAAAGAGTATGTCAATGAAAAGGGTATTATACATTGCATTTAAAACTTGCTTAACATTTTCATTTAATGTTCAATGATTTTATTTAGTACAAGAGAATCTATATCTCTGAAAGTTCCTCGCTGGAATTTCATAGCTGTAACTAGACCACATGATGCACAGCGTATATATGTCAGAGTAAAAAGTGATGAAAAGAACATAATTAAAAGAAATACCACTTCTATTTCCAATTTATTATCAATACCATACAGCCAACTTAAAGCTGAAGCTGAAGAAATTGTAAATAACTCAGTTGCATGTATTTCAATCAATCTGTATGATTATTTTGAATTTCTTTTTCTAAAATGTTAACATTATTTTTCAGATCATAGAAAATGTTAAACGTGCCAGTTGTGAAAATTCCGAAGTTTCTGTCATTGAAACTAATGAAAATGATGAATTGTGGGTTGATAAGTACAGACCTAGAAGCTATATAGAATTACTTTCAGATGAAACTGTGAACAGACATTTGTTACACTGGATAAAACTTTGGGATAAAGTGGTTTTTAATCGAAATTATGTTCCGAGCAAAAAGGAAAAATTGCAGTCTACATTTGGAAATAGAAAATTTATTAAAAATGAAGTTTTTGAAGAAGTAGATAGTAGTGGTTTCCCGATTCGGAGAGTAGTACTGCTTACTGGACCACCTGGATTAGGGAAAACCACTTTAGCTCATTTAGCAGCTAAACATGCCGGCTATAATGTAGTAGAAATTAATGCAAGTGATGAAAGAAATCCAGATGCTTTTAGGTAATAAAAGTAGACAGAAAAAAATTGGAATTAAGATAAGCATACAGCTAATATTATTAATTTTTATAAATATAAATTATTAAATTTAGACAAGTTCTTCTTGCATCAACACAGATGAAAGCTGTAATGGGAAATGATCCTCGGCCGAATTGTCTAGTTTTAGATGAGATTGATGGAGCGCCGGCCGCATCAATCGATCTTTTAATTAAGTTTGTACAAGGTAAATTAACTACAAAAAGTAAAAAAGATAAAACAAAAAGTAATAAAAAATCAAATATTTGTCATCGTCCTGTAATATGCATTTGTAATGAACCATACACACCTTCATTAAGGTAAATTTTTTGCTTGGTAATTAGTATATTTTTATAGAGAAACATTACAATTACTTCACATTAATTCCATGTTATAGAGCTCTTAGAGCAATTGCTCTTATTATACCTGTACCAGAAGTAAGTCTTGCAAGACTAGCAGATAGATTAATGAAAATATCGCAAAGAGAACAGTTAAAAGTAAATCCACATGCTCTTATGAAATTAGTGGAAATATCTGGTTGTGACATTAGATCATGTTTAGGAGCATTACAATACATGGGTGGTATTCGTTTAGGAGATAATTTATCTTTTGCATTAAAAGACAGTCGAAAGGGACTGTTTGATTCATGGAAACAAATATTAACAATACCTGTGAACAAAAATGGAATACTTCCGATTTCAGAAAGAGTACGTCTTGTATTAAAAACTGTACAACAAGGTAAAATTTTTTAAACAATTGTGATTCAATTAATAATGTAACTTTCAAATATATTAATAATATTTTTTCTTTGTTTCAGGAGAAACAGAAAAACTAGCACAAGGCATATTTCATAATTATCCAGAAGTTTGTAATGAAAAGTTGAATTACATATCTACATGTTTACAATGGTTTCAATTTTATGATGAAATTTGTTCATCCGTTGGACATCTTCAAAATTGGTCTATTATGCCTTATACAAATTATGCATTTGTTACTTGGCATTTATATTTTTCCAAAGCAAGGACTGTTAGATTATCTTATCCTTCGATCGTTTATGAAGTAAGTATCAAATGAATATAAGTGAAAAAAAATTAACACAATTAAAATCCATAAATTTAAATTAAAAATAGTACATTTTATAGGCGCAACAAAAAGGCGAGAAAAGTATAGGAATTCTAACAAGTGTTCATCGTAATAGTGGTTGCGACAGTACAGTGTTAGCTGTCGATATTGCCCCCTTTTTACCCGATTTGTTGTCTCCACGATTACGAACAATATCTGGACACTTACATTCGAATAAAGAAAAAGATGATATTGCTCGAATAGTAAATGTTCTACTTCAATTTGGTCTTTCATTCACACAAGAAAGAAGTCTTGATGGAATTTACAACTACAAGCTAGATCCGTAAGTTACAAATACGCTATAAAGTACCAAATGAAAAATCATATTTTAACTATGTATCTTTTTCAGCAATATTTTTGAAATTGCTATTTTTCCTGGATGTAAACAACATCGTTCACTTGCATATTCAGTCAAGCAAATAATTGTTCAGGAGTTAGATGCTGAACGATTGCGTCGATCAGCAAATGCGATAAAAGTTATAACGAATTCTACTCAAAATGAAAATAAGAATATTTCAGAGCAGAATGTTACTACAAAACCTGTAGGATCAGAAGTCGCTATAGATGAACAAACGAAAACAAAAGAAATCGTAAGTATCGAAAAGTAATTGTTAGTATCTGTTTTTTATGTTATTCTGCTTTAACATTTATACTGTTTTATGTTAATAAAATTGTAGGTATATAAGGATTTCTTTGGAAGAGTCATTAAAGTAAATCCAGATAAACAAAAAACGACGAACGCTATCCTAATGGAAAAGTATCCTGTATGGTATAAATATAAACAAGGTTATAGCAATGCTGTCCGCCGATTCATAAAAATGAAAGATTTCCTCTGAATTATATGTATAAACATACTATGGATAATGTATAAATGAACAAAAAATTTTAATATAAAAAAATGGTGTTATTACTACGACAGTCCCTAGAAAAAAAGAAAATGGCGGATCGGACTCACCTGCATTAATTTATTCGTAATATAAACATTTTTGCGAATCGAATGTCCAAATAGAGACCAGCACGCCATTCTTTGGATCGGACAGAGCAAAACGAGCACTCAGGGGATGGTGTACAAGCTTTCATTTAGAAAAATAGTGTGTTCTACGATTTCGTTGAACATATGAAAATATGTTACCATATTCTAAACTGTAGTCCTTTTGTCTACACTATGGGCGTCCGTCAATCTGACACCGTTGGATGCAACGTGTTGGACGGGCGGGTAGCGCTCTTAGCGAAGGGGTGCACTCTGTCCTGGCGTTACGACGTCCAGGCGGGGTGGGTGGTATGTAGCGTCTGGCGTAAGTCTAGGGGGCGTGAGACCCTTCGTTGCCAGCTGATATTAGCAGTGCACCATGTTTACGTCATAGTTGCTCTATTTTGCTTTTCAGTATTTGTTCTTAAAGCTTTATATTTACAAAGTCGAGTCACTTTTATTAAAATAGTGAAATATTAGCCCGTTAGATGTTTATGTACTAATCATGTTTGTAGATCAGGATTTTCAGGTTTAACCCCTTCCGTGTTTATTGCCAAAGCCCATTCACGTGCCCAGGTGCTACTTGGATGGGTAGAGGCAATGGGCACGATGACCTTGTTCATAAGAATAATAATTAATAAGCGGC